AGATCGCCAATTTCTATAAAGATTAATAATTAAAGACAACTAGTTCTATGTAACCTGTACATTTCGTTTACATATTAAAGAAAAACAATGGTGCAACAAACCACACTGACTAGCTCTGCAGACAGTTTTCTAATTACAATTTTTGCTTCCTTGAGACACAAGCAGTAGTTTTGTGAGCATGTAGCACAAATAATTCATAACTGCAAGACAGGTAAATCCTTTCAATGTTGGTGAAATGCTGAAGATTTATTTTTTCCCTTCAATAAATGACTTGTGATCACTTCCGTGGATTGTGGTGAGGAAAACATGATTCCTACGTATCTCAACTCGACCAACATTCAGTGAACTTGTGGAGGGGAATTTTATGGTTTTCAAGAAAAACCGCACACTTTAGGATGTGGTTAATATTCAAAAACTTCCACAAATCCATATTCCAACCATCGATGAAACTAAGAACTTACTATTCATTCTAGACTACCAACATTTGTGGACAATTTGGATCTTTACCCCACTGTTTTCAAGTTACGAAATACCTATTCTTTTTTATTTAAAAAACGTCGAGGATTTGATCTTTGTTTAAATCAATTTGTATTTTCCTATTGGGTCCTGCAGTCAAAGTACATCTACCTAAATCGACTAGGTCTATCGAAATGACTAAGAATATGAGAAATATATCGTGCGGAAATGACGGTATCAGGACCATAGTTAATTTTTATGTTCACCAATATTCATTAAAATACTGCTCCCTAAGGTTAAAAGGTTAAGGTTAAAAGAGGATTCCTTACGAACTTAGGCACTGCGAACAATATTGGTCTACAGTGATATTTCCATTATTGTCTAAAACTCTTCATTAAGCTTAAGGCTTTTTATAAGATCCCAAAGGAGTTAAGGCCAGCACAAGCTCAACAAGCGTACTCGCGGTCTATCGCAAGCTCAACAGCCGACGAGGCTGCCTGCTACCCTTCGCTTGCTCCCGAGTCTTCCACTCTGCATTGGCCAAAAACCTTGGTCACTAAACTAATTTCTTCGTTAGTCCTTTAGGTATAGGATTAGGGATGAAAGAGGCCGCCACAAGGCCTTCTGCACTTCGACCTTAGTATATTGTGCACCCTTGTTTGTTTTATAACGCACTGGCCATGTTCAGGTTGTTAATCAACCTCCAGTCTTGCCAGCGGTTCCTTAGTGTAGGATCTTGCTTGTGGCTTTTCCTCTCCTAAGAATCTGCACCTACATATACCTTTGCAAAAACATGAAATATGTTCTGCAGTCTCCTCCTGTTCCTGGCAGTATCTGTACAGTGTTTCTTCTATCTGTATTCCTATCCGGGTCGTGTGCTTTCTTAAGTGGCAGTGCCTTGTCGGGAGTTCAACCCGAATCCTGGTTCGGTTGCGATTGTCTTCCAGAATTCCTTTGAGTTTTGCGGATGGCCTTTCTATGAATCTCTTCGCGTGTTCATGCCTAAGGTTTTGTTCCACCGGGTTTTGGACTTATTAAGGATCATTTTAAAATGTATCCTCTTTTGTGTGAACCCCCACGGAGGATTCAGGACCTAAAGAGTGCATGATGGCTCCCTTTTTCGCCAACAAGTCAACCTTTGCGTTGCCTCTATGTCCCATGCTAGGTTTAAGTCATTAGAGTCGCCTTGGAATACAATTCCACTGAACCAAGAACTTTCTTAACACATTGACGGATCTACGTTTTTGGATATTTGGTAAGTCAAAAAAAGTGTTCAGAGCCGATATGTGTCCTCATCGAACTTTTCTTCGTCAATTTATCATCTTCCTAGTTGTCTCTTTGCCCTGGATTCCCTGGTACATCATCAGGGGTAATTTCATGTCTACAATGTCTGACAATGACTTGCTGCAATCCCAAACGGCTCTGAACTTTATTATAGGTTCGCTCATGCCACCTTGCTCTCCGATGAGTATTCCTTTGTTGGTAATGCCCAATCTTTTTTGATCTACTGGGCCAGTATAAAATAGCCACAATCTCCGGCTGAAAGACAGTGGAGTTCAAAATTTTGGTTTATTTCCATAGATAACTTGCTCCTAACGCACGGTAACAGTGCATCCAGGCCAGATGTAGCGGCATTAACTTGGGATCGTTTTCTAGCAGTGTTTATTATTTAAAAAATCTTTCTTGATTATTTTCTGACCACCCAATGTTTACGAACTTCTTGGATTGATATTAGAAATCCTTGTACAAAATAGTAAACAAACACCTCGTTACGAATTTTTCATCCCTCCCGCCGGGGAGAATTAAGGGTTCTGGCGGTTAACCCCTTTGAACAGTAAGTCATTAGCCTTGTTCTGATCAGTCCAGGACCATGTCAATTAAAATATAATTTATTCATACGAGCTTATGGTGGTCCCTCCGTAATGGCGGTGATGGTCGCTTAATAATTCAAAGATCCTGTCCCCCGCCCTTCACCTCGCAGCAGCATCAGGGCTATTATTCTACTTCAACATTATCCCTCGCCCTCTCCCTCATATAGAAATTATTTATCTCAAAGACGAAAGCGGAAACGAAAAATTTTCTCCGGAGAGATTTTCAACACCCATCTGTGATCTTAAACGCCCTTAGCTTCAAACAACTTTTATCAACTTGACTGTTTATTAAGAAAATTTATATTCACTATATTGATAGGAATACCTTATTGGTGAAATTATTTTGCCTATGATTCTTTATGAAATTTGTAGATAGTTTGAAAAGTTTTTATGGTGATTCAGCTCCTACTGAGACTGTCTCAGAAACGCTCCAGGGTTTTCTCAGGTCAAACTATTCTTCTGAGTCCTATTCTTTTTTCCTTGTTCATAGACGATCTGCCTCTAGCTCTTGAGTATGCATCAGGAGAGGTATTTATGGAAATGTACCAAGAACTAGACTTCATATTCTTGGACTCAACTTTCAGTCAGAAACTATGGCTATTGAACACTGAGCCAAGGAGATCAAAGAGGCTAGCCATAAAAGAATAGCCATCTAGTCAGACTACCAGGTGCCAGGTGGTAATAAGGGTTACCTTATTGGTGGTTAATTCCAGAGGCATTTGGGATTGCATCAAAGTCTTGTCAGACCCTGTGATCAACAAAATTTACCTTGTGTACCAAGGCATCAGTGATAAGAGGCAATGAGGAGGTTGATAAATAATTGGCCAAGGAATGTTCGATGAGGAACCCTTCTTTCTAATAAATTTCCAAAAAGTAGATCCATCAGCAATGGATTAAGAAAAGTTCTTGGTTCAGTGGAATTAATAGCAAAGACATGTCAAATTTTTTAAAGAACCATCACCAAAACTACCATCAGAACTACTAAACCTATGATGTGTTAGGACCAGAATGAAGGTAGGACTGCTGACCTGTATAATTTCGAGTAGCAGAACGCCAATTATTGCCAAGAAGAGGAAACAACAGAAAATGTCCTTTGTAGGTGCCTAGTGCAGGCTGAGATTCCTACTCCTGGAAGAAGAAAAGCCTAACACACCAACAAAACTTTGGGATCTGATAAAAAGCCTTAAGTTATTGAAGAGCTGTAGATCAACTTGGGTCGTGGTGCATAAAATTGTAAGGAATCATCTTTTAATCTTAACCTTAGTAAGCAGTTGATGAACAACAACAAATAAATATGGTCATAATATTGATCCCTGAGGGACACCTGCAACAATAAGAAATGATTTTGAAGTCTCACCATTAAGTGAAATGCAGAAAATATATAGTAGAACCTGTCGATCTAGGAGGATAAATCTTGACCAATTACCACTAGAAACTGTTAATATTTAAACAAAGATCAAATTCACCAATGTTTCTTTACAAAATAGGATCAGTTTTTGGTGATTCTAAAACAGTCGGGTAATGATGCAAATTATTCACAAATGTTCGGGTAAAAATCTTATGCAATAAAAATTCAATATTTAAAGGAAAGAAAATAATCAAAATTCTATATATAGTTAAATTTAAAATTTAAATAATGATGGCCATGAAATATATTTGGTGTGAGTTAAAGGACATTCTGATTTCTTAGGAAATTAAGTAGCCAAAATTAGAAAAAAAAAACTTTTGGTGTCCAAGACGTTTTTGGACTATTCGAAGCATAAAATCAAAGTGACAATCATACATAGACTGTCCATGGTTTAAAAATCTTTTTAAAATTGTTAAAAATGTTAAAAATTTAAATAATGATGGCCATGAAATATATTTGGTGTGGGTTAAAGGACATTCTGATTTCTTAGGAAATGAAGTAGCCAAAATTAGAAAAAAAAACTTTTTGTGTCCAAGACCTTTTTGGACTATTCGAAGCATAAAATCAGTGACAATCATACATAGACTATCCGTGGTTTAAAAATCTTTTTAAAATTGTTAAAAATGTTAAAAATTTGACAAGATGAAAAGTAGATGATTTAGAATTTGAACAGATGGCCTATGTGCACAAATCTCCATAAAATTGGCCAGAGGTTCCTTGGATGTGAAAAGTTTCTCAAATTTACTATTTGTCTAGTGTGTAGGTTTCAAAATATGACAATCTTTATCATTTTATTTTTTGCCAATCCTACATTAACTATTTAATTATTAGTAAATAAATGTTAGGAGAGGTTAGGGTGTCTTATTCATACTTGCCATGCTAATGGTTCTAGGTTCTAATCCCAGCTTAGCCCATGGATTTTTAGTTGGACTGTGTACATACATATAATATATATATGAGCATTGTAAAATGGTTAGGCCGTTATCTGTATGACAAGAATTATTTTACTTTATAAGCGTACATTTTGAGTTGCCAATTAAATTTAATACTAAATAAATAGCCATTATGAAAAATGACCATAAAAAAAGAATGAAATAAAATAATTACGACACACTAAAATGATTTTAATACTTTCATATTTGGATTTTAGAAATATTTTATATCTAAATTCAACATTCAACAGTTTACAACAATTTACAGTTTTTATGATTAATAAGAAAAATGTATTTAACGAACAAAAATATTAATTTTCATTAACAAATATATTATTTATTTATCATTATAAAATCTCTGTACAACTAATGTGGTAACTACAATCAGAGTGGCATTTGTTACAATAATTAAGTTTAAAAATTACTTTAAATAATTATTATACTTCTTACAATTATTTAGATGGGGGGAAAATTAAAGCAATCCTTATTGTAAACAGTGATACTTAAAATTTTGAAATTTTCATATCAAAAAGCATTTCAAATACTAAGAGTAATATGTCAAAACCGATGTTTGGTTCCCTCTGAGAACCAACGCCGGAGGCATTCCGGCTGTTATTAATTCCAGCCAGGCCATGTACATCGGAGCTGAAACTGTACCTTTTCGAGGCATGGGTAAAGTCCTAAAAATTGCAATGAAAAATAAATTTAAGTAACTAGCCCGTACAAACTGTCACGTAGTACTTACACGACATAAAATGTTACATCTTTTGAATATTCATGCAAAAGCTCCCTCAGTCTCATATGGCGATTTGTTTTTTCAGCTAAAAGCTTCAATTCTGAATCAGCAATATACCCATTTTTTGAGAAAGCTGAAAGAAAGACAGGTTTTTTTTTGTTTTTTTTTGTCTCATATCCATTGTTTTACTTACATCCATCCAGTTTCCTGAAATTCTTGATTATGTCTTCAAATTCTTTTTGAGTCTCAGGTTTAGCCTTTTTTGTAATGTCTGGTATTATTATCAAATCGCTGTAATCGATTCTAAACTTTGAAAGTAATGCTGCCAAACTGTAAGAAACAATTTCTGTCAGCACAACACAATCAACTCACTCTTATTTACTCAATCTCATTCGCTCATTCGCTCTCTATCTGTTTATCTCTTTCTTTCTTTTTTCTCTCTCCAAGCAGGCTGATTCCTATAGCTGGAGGAAAAGCCAAGTCTATTATCAAAGTTTTGGGATCTGATAAATAGCCTTAAGCTTAACATAATGCACAGCAGATCAATGTCAGTCGCGTGCATAAGGTCATAAAAAGCATCCTAGGCATGGCACTGCAAAATTTAACAAATTTGAAAAATATTGGCATCAATAAGCACATAAATTCAGTTCTGCAGAGAAGCAGAAGATGCCCATGACCCCTTTTAGCCTAACCCCTATGTCCATAGAGTCACAACAAATTTCTGTAAAATTCCAAAAAGAAGACCAGTTCACACAAAAAGAAGTAATAAGTAAATAAGAGGCTAGATTAAAGTTTGTATGCGTTTGGGGCTGAAATGACCTAGCTGTCCATAGCACCTATCAGTGCCTAACCCCTTTGGTAGGAAAGCGATGACCTCCTGGGCATCTGGCTTAAGGTAGATACTAACAACCCGGCCACATAACAGGATGGCTGAACTCCCTGATGTATAGACAAAAGGGTGAGCCCTTTAACAAATATGAAAAATATTGGCATCAATAAGCACATAAATTCAAATCTGCAGAGAAGCAGAAGATGCCCATGTCTTGTTACAAAGACGGCATAAAGGAACTAGAAATTGAAACATTTCTAAGAATGGCATTGCAAAATTTAACAAATTTGAAAAATATTGGCATCAATAAGCACATAACTTCAAATCTGCAGAGAAAAAGAAGATGCTCATGTCGTGTTAAAAAGAAAGCAGAAAGGAACTAGAAATTGAAGCATTTCTACTGCAAACTTTAACAAATCTGAAAAATATTGGCATCAATAAGCACATAAATTCAAATCTGCAGAGAAGCAGAAGATGCCCATGTCGTGTTAAAAAGAAAGCAGAAAGGAACTAGAAATTGAAGCATTTCTACTGCAAACTTTAACAAATCTGAAAAATATTGGCATCAATAAGCACATAAATTCAAATCTGCAAAGAAGCAGAAGATGCCCATGTTGTGTTAAAAAGAAAGCAGAAAGGAACTAGAAATTGAAGCATTTCTACTGCAAACTTTAATAATCAATGTAATTTCATAATGAAAATATAATTTGGGAGTCCATAACAGAACGTGGATGAAAAAGAGCTGTTGCCATCAGATCGAGCAATACAAGTAATGAATGAACTCATAAATGGCTGTAGATACTCGGAGGATAATATAGCTTATGAATAGAGAGTATTGGTAAAGCTGTGATAAATGTATTTTTATTTACAATATAAAGTCAAATCATATTTAGAAATTCATGCTTAAACGGTACAGGGTCACTTAGTGTGTCTCCACCTAGTTGGTCGACTCGCAGACCAAAACCCATCATCAACTCTAATATTTAGAAATTACTAATGTGACATGTTGGCTGTTACTTACTTTCGGTGAGCTCTGTCCAGTTCATTGGCCCGGTTTGCCAAGGAAAATATCCTCAACTTGCAATCACTGTACTGCGACCTTGTACTGATTATATGTGGTATGAGTAGAGTTAGGCCTGTGAATAGGTTTTCATTGGATACAAAAATTCTACAATATTGAAACATTTATATCACCTCCGTCGTCATAAAGCCACCAAACATCGATCAAAGCTTTCGACTGCTTCCGTCTAAAATAGGTGAGAGCTTGTAAATGGTGAGTGGATAGCGTTTCACCCCTGACCCCCCTGAACATCTCAGTCGGGTCTTTTCCACTGGAATTTTCCTCTTCCTCTATGCCTTCTTCCTGGTCTAGCATTGGCGAGCCTGGAGGAGAGATACTACCTGCACTGCAAGCATCATCTAAAATGACAGCAGTGTTTGGTCTTGTAAAACATGCTAATATAATACAATAAATTCAATTTAAAATTGTCCTTGATATAAAAAATAATTGACTAATTTAATTTAGTGTTTCAACTAGTTAATATTTAAAATTTGGCCTATATCAACAATATTTTACACTGAAAAAAAAAGGTTTTTCATAACTGATAATCAATAAGTTTTAGTTTTATCATTATCTTGAATATAGGCAATATGTGGTAAAAATTCTTCCTTTGCCTATTATTTACCCATTATGGTGGTACTCATAGAAATTTCAGACCTCCCACATAGTAGTGAATGGTTAAGTCATTCAAATCATATTTGGCATGCTCACAATTATGGGTTTGAATTCCAGCATAGCCCTTGGAATTTTATTTAAGATTAATTAGGACTAAGTATTGTAAAGGGGTTTAGACTTCTTGACCGTGACATCCGACACCGTTGGATGTTAAGCTCTTCAGTATGACAGGATTTATTTTACTTTTAGCTCGGTAACATAATAAATCTAGAGGTAATATGCCCGAAATGATGTTTTAAAAAAAAGAAACCTAAAGATAGCTGCCCAGCAGATATATTTCTGTGAAGTTTATCTTCTTCGTCCTCTTCCTTCTTTTCATAGGATGGAAAAAGTGGGGAATCAGCATCTTCAATCATATTCGAATAATCAAGGCCATCAGCCATTCTTAGAATCCCAACAGCTAGAAAGCTATCTAATGCGGCGCTGCAAAAAGCATTTTAATTCATTAAAGCAAAATCTAATCAAGATTTAAGATAACATACTGAATTAGAGTGAAGTAATTATCTAATTCTTGTTTTGGACAAATCTGCCAATCGTTTTTGTAACCCATCAAAATCATATTCGGCTTCAGTTTACCCAGGCCAGCCATTGTCATAAAAGATTTTGCCAAGTAATGCTCTCCAATCCCATCATCTTCTCCGAGTATGTAAAAGGCTTTGATTTTATGCTGTTCGAACCATCTGTACGCCTTCTGGGAAAGCGCTTCATGAACTGTCCTTGAATACGAACCCTAATTTGAATTCCAAAGAAATTAAATCTTCGTTGTGAATCGAATATATTTAAAATGAGTACCTTGATGATATGGCTGCATACAAGAAGGGATTTCCCTTTGGTAATTAAGTTTGCGAAATCCGTAAGTGTCGGCCGGTGTCCAGGCATACCAGAAAGTACGAGAATTTGAGGCCTGTAATTTTTCACATGTTCCGCAACTTTATTCAGTTCCAGAGCTGATCTTAAAGCAAAATAATAAGCCTGCGCTTGCGTCGAAGATCCCCAGTTTACCTCTAATCATAATTTAGAATTTAATCAAGATATTTAAGCTAAAAATTATTTGAGACGAACCTGGCTTTCTGTACGAAACGTAGAGATAAAGTGCAACAACTACAAAAAAAGTCACCAGTGCTGTCCACCACGATATTAAAAACATGACTGCGATGCATAGCAGAGTTCCCACCAAGCTAACCCACGCATTGTAATACTGAAATGACAATTCAAAAAAAATAAAGAAAAGCAACTAGTACACAAATAAAAGTGCCATACATAAAATATAAAATATATTTTTTTTAATGAAACAAATCTACGTAAAATGTAAAAATTCACTTTTTATTCCACCTTAAACGCAGGCCTCCATCCAGGACTTTTAGATATTGAGACATGAAAAACTGAGAAATTTATGAGAGCGTAGGCAGCCAAGAAAAAATTGGAGAGCAAAGGAGCAATGTAATTTAAATTCCCTAAAATAAATATTTTAAAAACATTATTACTTATATTATAAAAAATAAAAAAATTAGAATCAACTATAAACTTACCAATAAGAATACAACCAAAAGCTATCACAAATACAAGAATATATCCTCTTATCGGATCATTATTGGCACCGAAACCCTTAGAAAAAAATCCTATGAAGGGGTAAAGTTTATCTTTTGCCAATGCCTAAAAAAAGATAAATTCTTGAATTAAAATAGTATTTTAATAGCTTAAAATTTTCACTGTTAAACTAATACAAGTGCATGTTTGTCTAACCATAGATCTTAAATAATAGAAATATTTTTAGAACTTGGTAAATATTTCATATTTTTATTGAAGGTACTTCAGTACTTTGCCTTTTTTCTATTTTATTTTGTATGCATTTAGGGCTATCTTATACCCCTTCTCAGTTGACAGTGATTTGGCCAACAGTTTGTTTCTCTACATTAATTATTAATTATTAATTTTTGAGTATTTTTGAGTCTGTGAAATCTTTTTGATATATAAAAATTATCCTAAAATATAATTTACTTGAATTTAATCATCTTTGGTTTTATAAACTTTCACAAAAAATTATAACAATTTTAAAATGATTTTTTTTTTTTAATCATAGAATTTTTAAGAAAAACAAGGAGAATTTCTTTCTATCCTTTACAAACCTGTAGTACTCTGGGAGCTCCGACTAAGCTTGCTATAGCGGATGAGAGCGTTGCCGCAAAACAACCGCCGTAAATAAGAGGTCCCCATAGAGAAACAAGTTCCATTGCCTACAATTAGCGTTTCAGACTTTACTAATCATACCAATCAAGAAATTAGTTTTAATTGAGCCAATTAACCTGGTTGTCGTTTCGAAGCCCATATGTGCATGTTGTATTGCACTGGGATATTTTGTCCCAACGATCTATCAGCGAAGTTCCAGGTTCAATGTTTTCTAAAATTGTTTCATTTCCTGACGCTTCACGTAGTACGCAGCCTCCCATCATAAATGCATATGATATATATGAGATGAATGTTGTAATTATTGCTAGGAGTGTTCCTCTAGGGATGGCTACGCTCGGATCCTAAATGACATTTGTTTTTATTTAAAAAAATATAATTTTCCCTCGTTAAAACATATTTTACCTTTAAATCTCCAGACAAATTAGCCCCTGCGACAATGCCAGTCACTGCAGGGAAAAACACTGAAAATACGGAAAAGAAATCGTGTTCTACCCCATCGAAAGATTTATAATTTGGTGGTATATTGTTTTTGAACACCTCCACTGCAAAACATACACATTATATTTTTTAAATTATTTTATTAATTTTATTTATTCATACAATTGTATCCAACAAAGCCTTTTGCTTCTTCAAGTAATGTTTTAGGACCCATTATGCTTCCAATCACAAAATCTATTTGTGAAGCAATCAGCACCATCAGTAAACACATCTGGGTCTGAAAAAACAGTTAATAAAATTTGCCAATTATTTTAATATTATATTTTCATTATTGATCATGTTTTTGGTCTTTTGTATAATAATATTGTGCTTCTTGACAGCCAAGACTCGATCGTGAACAAAGAGGAAAAATTTTACGAAAACTTCTTTTACTTACTCTTGTTACCCAATCCATTCCGACGAAAGCAAGCACGAGTATACCGACGAGAGTAACAACACCAACAACCCTAATATCATTAGTTCCGTTGTCCAGTATCGTCCCTCCTAAGCTTCTGACTAGGTCCTGAAGGGACTCGCAGAACCCAACGACATACATAGAGACGGCTACAGAATTTGCGATGGTGAACATCAGCCCGATGGCTCCTCCGAACTCAGGTCCAAGTGAGCGAGATATCATGTAATAAATACCACCTGCAGAAAATAATTTTATTTGAAATTTTTGTCTCTTTCAAAATAGAAGATAATAAATTAAAAGTTTGTTTTACTTCATTGTTAAATACTATTTTTGATTAAATAATAGCATTAAATCTATTAACAGAGATTTCTAACATTAAAATTATTATATTACACAAAATAATTTTTATTTTGCGTGTTATAAATAGTAAAGACGTATTTTATGTTTGAAAAGAGTATGGGATATTACAAATTCAACTGACATACACAGTCTATAAATATTTCCTCAACAAGCAACAAATTCAATTTATAAAAATGATGTTTAGGCTAAAGGAGGGCGATAAGATGATTGCTTACCTCCTTCTATTATACCATTTGTGCTTACTGCTGACATGGAGAGAGTAGTCGCTAAAGTTACCAAATTTGAAAGGCAAATAACAATAATGCCTTCCACTGCGAATAAAAACAAATTAGTCAGAAATAATGTATATTTTTAAAATATTTTTAATTCACCGATGCCAGCCTGTCCGATGACCCAGGACAACCTGAGAAATAGCATAACGCCCCAAATATTTAGAAGACATCTCATCTACAAATAAACTATATTTTATTAACTCTTTAAAATATAGTATCAATCTAAATAATATCAATAATAAATATTATAATGAAGTAAATAAATTCATTCTTACATAAACTCCTTCTACCCATCCAAATTTAATAACTTTTCCTTTTTTTGATGAAGTATAAAAACTTCTCCGCCTCGATGTTTTATCGTGTTTCTCTCTTGCTTTAACCTGAAATTCAAAAATAAAAATCTTACATCTTCGTAATTTATACTTATATGAGAAAAATTTGTCTAAATTGGTAAAAAGATGAGACAGCGAATGAAAATACGAGCCATGACACGTTTTGAATTTTAAACTAAAATAAAATAAAACAGCCTATTGTTCATACGACTAATCTCGACCACTTTTAGTCAATATTACACAAGCAATGTTGTTGAATCAAATTGTCCAGGAAATGCACAATCATGCCGATCATTAGGCCTCGTCTTACCCAGACACTTCAAAGAAACCCACAACAGACAACTAGAAAAGTGATATGCCTTTAGGTTCATTCAATTATTTTATAAGACCAAATCAGGACGAATGATACAAAATAATCTGGGGTTTTGCAATAATTAAATTAAAAATTTGATATTAGGGTAATTCGCTTTATATTTTTAATACTATTTACTATCCTAAAAACCTCACGCTTGACATTTTATCTACATATCTTAAGCCAAGGTGTTTAATTTTCTTGATACTTTGATCAAAAATATATGTGCGATTTTTCTGTTTAAGGAAAAACTTAACCTTTGAGATTAATTGTTAAATAAGCTTTGTTGTTAAATCTTTAATACCGAAATAACTCACGAATAATCTGTTTTTCAGTATGGTCTGGATTAAAAAACTAATTCGATTGTTATCTGACAATCTTTTGACCTATTTTAAGGTCATCATCAGGGCAAAGATGTCTATAAATTTACATAATTAAGTTTTTAGCAGATGGTTTAAAATTTCTTTGGAGATAGACTAACACTACAGTCCTTGGCAATGTTGGTCAGTTTTTAAAAATTAGTCTTTAAATAAATTTGAAATCATTTTAAAAAAATGTAATTATACCAATTTGTAGACATCTTTAAGGTTGTTTAACCCTGATGATGACCTAAAAAAACACTGTAAGATAAAAATAAATATAAAATTTAACATTTTAAATAATTGTACCAAAAATGAAGAAAAGCCATGTAAGTAGTTATAATTGACCATATTAATTATTTTAATTATACTTTTTATCTAAGGTGATGGTTGAGATAAAAAATGAAGTCACAATATTAAGTGGTTAGAGCAGCAGGTTGAGCCGAAGGTCGTGGGTTCGAATCGCACTCATAACACTAACTTTTTCATCTTGACCAAGACTTTAGATAAAAAGTATTAATTAAAATGAAGAAAATCTTCAATTCAGTGTAGAGTAAGTTCTTCCTCTTGCATCAATCACCACTTACATTCGACCTGGCATTAGTTTTATGAGGTTGTTGAAGTTTTGCTAGGAATATTTTCCTACTCCTCCAACAGCGCCATTCTTAATTCCTGCAAATTCTCTGGCATCATTGGGCAAATTTTTACCCTATTTGACAACTCGTCCCAAAAGTGTTCGATAGGTTTTAAATCGAAACTTTTATTAAGTCGAAAGCTGGCCATTACAAACTTTGAATTGAAGTCGTTCCAAGTAGTCACCAACGATGATCCTAGCTGCAAGGAGCCTTGCATTGTCATGCATAAAAATAGAACGTCTTCAATGTATAAATGTTGAGGGAATAAATCGCACTTTTGTTCTTCTACAAAGGTCTCGTTCAGACCAATTAATATGATTGCTTGCGAAACTTAACCGAGCTGCTCTTTGCCTTGTCAGAATTTCTAGAGACTATTCAATGATTAATTTACAAAATAATTGAGCGGGACAACTACTAATTAAACACACACATAACCCTAAAACACTTATAGCACACTGTCATTTTTTTATTAAATTTATTTCATGTTCGAGTAACGCATCCTGCTACCAGTGAGGCAACAACTAACGAAATATAGCCATACACATAATTTTTTTAAAATTATTTCATGTTGAAGTGTTACAGCCTGTTACTGGCAAGACCACTAATCAAACACACCAAACACCTAAACTCTTTTAACCCACTCTCTCTCTCCCTCCCTCTCTCTCTCTCTCTCTCTCTCCTTTGTCAATCTCTATCCTCCTTTCTTGCATCTTTTATCTTCATTTTATCACGTCTACCCTTCTCCTCGCTCTCCTCTCACTCACTCTCTCTCTCTCTCTCTCCCCTCTCTCTCCTTTGTCAATCTCTATCCTCCTTTCTTGCATCTTTTATCTTCATTTTATAACTTTTTTTTTATTGATTTCATGTTGGAGTGTGACAGCCTGCTGCCGGCAAGACAACAAATGAAACACACAATACACCCTAAAACTCTTGTAACCCTCTCTCTTCTTTTTTTGACTTTATTTTGTGTTATTTCATGTTGAGACAACAAGTAATGAAACACAGACATACATCATACCATACATCCTGAGACTCGGCCACGAATGAAACACTATACATAAAACTCTTGTAACCCACTCTCATTTTTTCTTTTTTTTTTAAATTAATTTATTTATCTGGTGTTATTACATGTTGAGACAACTAACGAAACACACACACACCATATACCCTGAAATTCACACTCATTTACTTACTCATTATCACTCCTTCTCATTGAGAAACCAAATGTCTTAAAATAAGAATGAGATATAGAAAAAAAAAATTATTGACTTTCAACTTGTCCCAATGTGAGCAAACTGTCAAAGCATGTTTCAATGTTTTGATAAAACTGATTTGAGAAGTAAAAACAATTTGTTTAATTAAAGTAAAGTAATTCGAGTAACTGTCCTTCCTGCTTTACGTAAGACTGCTTTAGTGTCCCAGGCGAGGAGTCAGACCACTTTACAATACTTGCATAATTCAAATCATTAAAAAAAATTCCAAATGGAATGGTGCTAATCAATCTGAATACCATATACATGAAATATTGTATATGAGGTTAGTTGTAATTATTTTCTTTAAGAAACTACTACAAAATAAAATTTAATGCTAAGCATGATGATTGTAATAATCAAATTATAATTTTTATTGGTTTAATTGTACTGGTAACAAACATAAAAATTAAAACCCTGAACGTTGGCACAATAAAAAAAATGTTTTTCTAAACCTGTCACACCAGACCGCATCTCACGATCTCCAAATAATCACAAAAATTAAAGTTGTATTAATATTAAAAAACCAAGATTCTGAAAAGAACGATAATTTAAAAAATGTAAATACGCAGTGTAGCGTAAGTAAATATTTTTGGTTTCCACACTCCTGAAAGAAAGACAAGTGGTATAACTGTCATTTGCCACATCCTTATCATACGCTATTTATTCAGCAAACTCTATAATTGTTAGAACATATTTGTGCCACTCAAAAAAAGAAATGACCAGAATTCCTCGCCTGAGGCGGAAATTATTTCTCTAAACTCCTAACTGGCCGGAATGATGAAGTAATTGAGGAGAGTAAAAGGTTTATTAATTGACATATGACCCGAAACTGGAGAGATTCAATTATCCATTGTGAAGTATATTTTTCCCTCTGTTGGAAGTTCGAATCTAATAAAAAGTCGTCTTTCAAAATGGTCACTATGCCTCAATCATTTTTAAGACCAGTTTTGTTAATAGCAACAAAGTTTTAATGAGTTATAAAAAAAAAAAAATACAACTTCAAAGTTTATGTAATGACTTAAAATATAGAAACTGCTTACAAAAAATAGTTCAATAAAGTTGTTTGCATAAATTGTCGATAAATAATTAACATATCTGTTAACTGAAACTAATTTTTAAAGTTTAAAATCTATTTTAAAGAAATCTAAAATCTAAAATAAAGAATATAATTTATTTAAAAATAAGAAAGAAAATGAAATTTAAAATTTTATTTTTTAGTTATTCGTAGGTTTAGGTTTTCTTTATTTCAATTAATTTTTCAACTATTAAATTACCTGATCTAAAAACCTAGCTTCATGAAGTTCCTCTAGAGTCGGTCTTAAAGCGTGCTTAGACGAAGTTATATCTCTGTAATTTTCTGCGATTGGTAGAACTTCCCTCGTGAGCTGACCGAGGGATTTTGAGTCATAAGAGCCATCCGCTTGTTCGCCTGTCATCAACCGCCCCACTTCAGATATCGACACCCTCGCCACCTTGAACCTGCTCATCGCCACCTCTTCGCCACTTTCACCAGGTAGCTCCAGCTTCACGCCCACACCCCCTCCGCTCTCCATGGCTCACTCCGCAATGTCTCTATTCACGAACGGGCCCACACGACACTGAAGGAAGAAGTGTGCTATACATATTAGCGGAGACTAGTGAGAAGGAGAGAGCACTGAGAAACAAGAGGGGGCAAAAAAAGGAAGAGGGGAAGGCATTAACATCTCTTCAACAAAGATTTATTTCTTGTACACCACTTCCCCGGTGTTCAAAATTGCACTTTTTTTTTTTTTTACAAAGGTTGAAATAATAAAATAACACAATATTATATCAATACTTTCATTTTATTTATAAATACAAAAAGCATATAACGATTGTTTAATTTATACTTCATATTTAATAATTATTTATATACAAAACAATATTAACCTTTTTTGGCCTGAAAATTTGCAATCAATCAAAAAATACAATAATAAATATTTTAATTTACTCAAATTGCACAAAAAACATCACTATTTTTATATTTAGGCTAATATGTACTATAACATATAATTTAGTATAATTTATTTGGATTATTGCAAAGTTTTATGAACATAATAATTTTTTTTCAGAGAATTTATTAAAATGAACTAAACGACAATAAACAAGGTTAATCTTGGTCTCATGACAAATATCAATTAGAAAACTATGGTCAAAAAATTACGCCCTTGGGGTAGTATCACATTTTTTTAAAACACTAAAATCTTGGCAACAAAAATTTCAACTGCCTTTTTACATTTTAACCCTGCTTTTTAAATTGTTTTATGAAAAAAAATCTTTACATTTCAGGGATGTTAAAATGTAGCAAAATTATAAAAACAATAATAAGACATCTATTTAGTTCAACCCTCGACCATTGAACAGGTCAAACCTTAGATAATCTGTTAAAGGTTGAGCCAAAAAAAAGTCGATAGTGGCCATTATTTATTCAAAGTGTTAAATGTATCGACCACTTTTTTACCCGTGAATAATCTCAATCAATGATCTGGATGAAAAAACAAATTGTTATCTGCCAAGTCAAACTGTTGTCAATATTGTTATAGACCTGGGCAATATTGGGACTGAGTCGGTCTTCAAATAAATTTCAAACCGTCTTTTATAAATTTAATTAAATCAATTGTAGACATCTTTAAGATTGTTTTGCCCTGATGATGACCGTAAAATAGGTCGAAAGCTTGCCAGATAACAACTGAATTTGTTTTTTCATCCAGACCATACTGAAATCAAGATAATTCGCCATTATTTACAATTTATTATTTTTAGAATAGAAGAAACATTAAAAATTTCTACTTTATATTTTAAACCACATTATGTTCCATCATAATTTTAAAGAAATTAAATCCATCTAACTAGCCAAAGTATAAATTAATAGAACATTTATTTTTAATGACTTAATCGCAATATAAAATTAATTTCAAATACATATTAAAAAAAGGATGAATGCTGACAATCATGTACATATAAATTGAGCACAGGGCTGACTTTATGTACAAATGATCATTTTTATAAATGGATTTTTTCCTTATTTCACAAGGAAACTTTTAATAATGAGACATTAAACGACTATGAATTGGAATTAACTAGATAGGAATTAAATTTTGATTTTAATGATAATAATGATTATAATAATAAATTACAAAAGCAAATTCATCAGGTACGTTTAAGGAATGCAGTCTGAAATAAGGCTCCTTTCCTTCAGCTTTGTTCATGATGCAACAATTATTATGATAATCCATCATTTTAAGAATTTAAAATTGGTTGGTAAATTCTTGTCGGCTAGAAAAAAAATTGAAGTTCCTTAAAACAAGTAGGAAAAAAATTTGAATTAATGAAAATCACTTATAGCTTGATCTGGCCTATTCTCACTGGTTTTCTTTAAAAATCAAAGGATTTAACAAATTCAACATTTTATAAGCATGATTATTCGGAAATCATTAGATGCGGTCTGGTGTGATGTAGGTTTCAGAAAAACATTTTCTTTATCGTGCCAACGTTTCGATCTTTATTGTGATCATCTTCAGGACCTGGGATTTACAAACATTGTTTAAATTTAACAAATACATGTAGGATGTGGAAAAAAGTGAATTTATCTCATGATTTCCGAATTATCATCGACTAACGGTCACAAATCACCACACGTTTTACAAGCATAAAAAAGGGCATGTTAGACTAAATAATGAACAGACCGACCACTGAAGAAGGAAAAATAGCTAGTGTAAGAGATTGAAAGAGATTAAACATTTGAGGCCATTATTATAAATATCCTGATTGGAAGGCGAACAAGTAAATAACGATCTGAAATGAAGATAATTATTCTAAATTTCACTCGAACAAAAGCAAAAATCTGAATCTCTATTAAGAACTTCAAGCCAACTATACATTTTGATTGTGTGAGATTAAAAACTCTGTCAGATATTTCATATAAACGTGCAATAATAGTCTTCTTTAGAAGTTAGATTGTCAGCCAAATATTGCCAACAAATATTATGCAATGGTCAGATGGTTAAATCAATCGACCAAACGTTTCTTTCGAACAGGTTCAATATTTTGAAATTATTGTCAGTCGGAATTTATAAAGTCTATTAAATCTGACGTCTGATAATTGATTATGAAAGCCTCTCGTGAATCATGTATTTTCTATCAGATCTGACGCCTTACAGAATTATCAGATTCAGAGTTATTATCTGAGACCAAATGATCTAAAATAATTGCCAAATCAAATAATTGTTTGCTCGACTTTTCTAAAGTCAGACCTAATGGTCTAAAAACCATTGTCAGATATGTTGGTCGGATGGTCAACCACAGAATCTTACCTATCGAATTCAATGTCTGACAATTGTCAGATCTGACAAATACACATTTCCCTCTACTGTACTAAAAGTTCTGAAACAATGGTTGAACCAAATAGTCAGATGATAAGCTGAGCATTTACGGCAGTTGCACTCAACTGGCAGCCGGAAGTCAAATAGCATGCCACACATATCAGATTTAAAGTTCTATAATGATAGACACGATAAATTTTTTGCTATTGGAACCAACTGTCAGCAGTTGCAGATCGATGGTTGACCTCACATTTTTAATTCAACTGCCAGAACTGATAGCCGAATATTCAAGCCTTATGCAGTTAAACGCCTTTCACTTAAAATATTATATTCCATAGTGTCTAAGAGATTGCAATAGATTAATGTTATTGAGGCCACTATTTCATATATCCTGATTGATAGGTTAAAAAATAAAATGAAATTTATTTGTACACTATGTAGACTATAAAATAATAATATCAACCCACTAAAATTTAAATAAAGAAGAGATGGATCCTGATGAGGTCATCTAACCATGGGTGACCTGATCTGAATCCATCACTTCTTTATTTTTATGTAGACTATTTCTGATATTCTTATCATGGCGAAAATAAATAAATAGACAAAACTAGTGAAAAATTACAGATTAATAAACTCCTCAAAAGTTTATTAGAATTCCACCATTTTATTTTTCTCATTACTATTTTTTTAATTAACTAAAAGTCAAATATCACAATTATTTGTTTTGTATGTTAATATTATAGTGGGACCATGGTAGCCGAGTGGTTAAGGAAGACCCTGCAGCCGTGGGTTCGATTCTCACCCTCACCTCTGGACTTTTTTTCTAAGGGGACCGGAGGCCACAATTAGAAAAAAAAAACTGACACGGCAGTCATCAATGGTCTGGGGCGGGATCTCAGCGACTCTGAATTTGGTCCCAACCTCCTTCAAAAATGAGTTTCTTCGATGGAAGAAGACCAGCACACCAGGGGCTTCAAATTCACACGCAAGTTGCCAGCCCCCAAAAAAATTAAGTACATTAAGCTGTAGTATCCAGCTGCAGTGCTCAGGCCATTATATTAAATGATAAAATTTAAAAAAATATATATAAAGTACCTTATTTCAGTCTATAGTGCCCGATCCCTCTGTTTCTTTGCGTGGCCGCCGATACTTCTTCCAGAAACGACTCCGTGTTGTGCACTGTTGAACCACCTAGTAAAATTTGTACACCTCCAAAATTCGAACTCTTGTTCAATTGGTATACGCATAAAGATTCCTCGTAAGTCACACCTCCAATCATAAATACAATAATATCCTGGACTCTAAAAAAAATGAAACGTTTTTATTTTCTGGTTACAAAGAGATTTTATATATAAATAACATACCTTCTTGTTGGTGGGGTTGACCCTAAGAACGGGAAAACATTTTCTTTCAACCTCCCTTTTATAAGTTCTTCTAAAGTTTCCTTTAATGTCGGAACATGCTGTGTGAAAACATTCTCAACACCTTTAAGATCCTTGAAAAATTACAAGAAGTTTATAACATCAAAATATTGTTGAAACATATTCTAATTGTTTTCAAATTAACATTTACCTTGAAAAAACGTTTGGTAATTTTTGCCACTTTCTCTTGAGAGACTAAATTTGCGCTTGAATCAGAATCTTGTAAAGAGTAATATATGATTTCATCGACCATCTTAACAAAAAACAAAAGTTATCATACAATTTTTAAAAAAATTTAAACAATACAACCTTGCACATATTTTCTGGAACTCCTCTTTTCTTCAGGCCATCAATTAAACTTCTAATATCACAATTTGAATGTGTATGGTACCTTAGAGCGTACAGCAAGACCAACCTGCAGGCTTCTTCATTTCTTATTTTACTATTGGACATTAGTGATTTTACTCTCTGTCAAAAACAAAATAAATAAATAAAACATGATATCTAACAAAAATTTAAGTTTAATTTAATAAGTAGCTTTATCATCTCTGATCAACCTGGTCTGTCTATTTGTTTTGCTTATCACAGAATTGTCGAATCTGTGTTATTTTGTTGGACGAATGATGAAAATTGCTCAAGCTAGAGGCTCGTAGAAAACTTTACCCGACGTTTCATAGTTTTGCACCTAGATGAGTGTTGACAAATAGCCACACAAATTTGTTCACACTTGTGGACATGTTTTAAAAAGTGGTATAAGATATGGGTATATTAGTCTAAATAGTACATTTCTTTGAAAAATGAAATTAGCTTTAAGTAAGTTATTTTTTTTTTTAAACTTACAATGTAGTATAATGGCCGAGTGAGCCTCCCAGTAACACTTCTAGATGAAACAGCAAGTCTTTTATAAATTTAACACATTATAACTCTACCCAGTGTAATTGATTGCTGTAGACCAGTGCTTCCCAAACATTTTTTGACCCATGGATCCCTTTTTATAGTCAAAAATTGCCCACGGACGCCCAAGTGAAAATGCCACATAAATGCATAATATAAAAATGTCCTTGTTTTAGTCGGTCGTTGGATAATCAATTGCTAATTTTAAACTTATGTTGAGGTGAACGGCCCCAGAAGTTTTTCTTCTGTCTCCTCGTTGATATTCATGCCCTTGTTTTAGTCGGCCATTGAATAATCAATTGCTAATTTTAAACTTATGTTGAGATGAGCAGAAGAAGGGATTCTTCTGGGGCCACTCACCTCAACATAAGTTTAAAATTAGCAAATAATATAAAAATTACAAATTTAAAAAAAAGTTTTGTTGAAGAAGAATTTTTGAAATTATAAATATATATAAATTATAATATTAATTACTTTTGTTTAAAATATAAAAAAAAATTAATGACTTGGATGAACGTGATGAGATGTTATGAATGTATAATTTCTAATCGGTTTCTTTCTTTTGTGATGAGGTTTATAACAGCACTGAATCCACGTTTTACCAAATAGAAAGACGGCAAAGCAGTCAACAACTTCTGTACAATAACTCATAATGCAGGATATAAAATTGAGATCTGTTTTTGTAACCATAATTTGTGGTATCCTTGTTCAAACATTGGTTTAAGTTCCTCTTTTGTGGATATTTCAATAAACTGCTCCTGTATTAGTATGGATTCATCTGTGTTTGGGATCTGACTTTGTCCACGTGCAAAAGGGTTCACGGGAAGTGAAGAATATCTTGAAAGGTTCAGGTTCAGGTCTGTATGAACAGCTGTTAAGTGTTGACAGTAAGCAAGCAAATCTTCATCTCTAATTTGCAAGTTCAAAAGATTTGGAAACTGAGAGCATTCTCTTCTTCCCAAGTTTTGTTTGAAAAGAAAAAGTTTTACAACAAACGCAGATATCACGCTTTTAGTTTTGATTAAATTTAATTGGTCACCTTGTAGTTTCAAATTAGTTTCGTTAAATTTGGCAAATAAATCAGACATATAGGCTATGCCATTTTTTGAGTTAATTAAATTGTGTCAAATCATTGTCTTTGGTTTCCAGGAATTCCAACACTGAATCAAAGAGTGCATAATATTGATTTAAACTCACTAATTTCGTGGTCCGCTTGACCAATTAATACTTTACAATTAATTAAGATTTTTAGTTGAGATGAAAAAAAGTTAATGGCACGAGCGGGATTCGAACCCACGATCTTCGGCTTGATACGCCGCTGCTCTACCACTTGAGCTATCGTGACCTCGATCCACTCGGACATCAACTTCCTATCTCAACCCTACCTTATGAGTTTTCCCTCCTTTTTGCCATTTTTCAAATGTCGTGTTATCGGATTGGATTCTCGACGACAAATGAAATAGCCACGGAGAGCATTAGTGAAGTGTACTTCATTTTAATTCATTAAATTCACTAATTTCGTGGTCTGCTTGACCAATTAATTAAGGCTTTTAGTTGAGATGAAAAAAAACTGCTGTTGCGAACCCTCGTAAAAAAAAAATAATAATAATAATAAAATATATGTAACCAATAAGACCCCAGTTAATATCTAAATTAAATAGCAGAGGTACATGACAGACCAAATTATTATTTGCTAAGTTCGCAGAAGAAGGCAAAATGCCAAAATGCATCGGACTGACAACGATCAAAGACGATCAAGCTACTGGTCGCCTCACCATATTTTACAATTTAAAATACCTGTAGATGGTGCGAATGTTGATCTTGGCATACCATTTCCTGTTCAACTTCAGAAACCTCCATTAAACAACGTTTCTCCACCAACGCTGATAATTCACCAATAATCACAACATGTTTGGTAACTGTTCCCGACATTTTCTATCGAAAAACGAATAAATGCAATCAAAGAAATTGGGACATCCAAACAAATTAAAATACCTTAAATTTAGGGTAATTCTCAACGAACTGTTTCATCTCAGCTATACTCTCGACTTTCTGGTGACTCCTGGCTTTTTTCTGAAAATCGTCTAAAAGCCTTTTTAACGTCTGTCCAATATCACCGTAATTAAGGTACAGATTCTTTTAAAGAACAAAAACAAAATAATTAGCATTATCGATAATAAGAAATGTTGAAATAACTGGCTTACATCTGCATAGAATTCATCTTGCTCGGACGAAAGCACTACTTCTTTAAGTTCGGGCGAAACAGAACTACTCACTTTGCCTAAATTTACTCTGTTATTAGATATCGTAAGAAGTTCATGGACCATAGCTTGATACGTCCACTAAAAAATAAAATAATTTAATATTTAAACTGGATGAAATTATAATATAAATTTAAAAACCTGAGACAGAAGGGGTGTTATTGGATCACTTCTTCTATCTAATATTAATAATAATGGAGGAACATCAGGTTGCTTATAATCAAACAGTGTTGATTCTTTTGTCAATACTTCCTGTAATGTCAAAATAGTTATTTATTAATTTAAAAAAAATCAAAATCAAATATACCCTTATTTTATCCGCAAGTTTTTCTGCCATCATTGAAGAACCTTGGTACCTAATGTTTGGGCATTTTTTTAGAGAGAGTAGCACTGCCGTCACCCCCTGTACACATCTTAAAAGGTGGTCGGGGTTCCAATTATTAAGCCCTAAGAAAGATTAAATAGAGAATTTTAAATAAAATATGTATTTATGAGTTTTGTACCTTGGCAGCATCCTGTTATGTTTAGGGAAAACAGATGTGGACTGACTGCTAAATAATCGCCAAAGAATTCCTGGAATTCTCTCACGACTTCAATCTCATCATACTCGGCCAGGGTTTTTATATCAGCTTTTGAAATAATGTTGCTGAAATCTGTAAGAAAAATTTAATCTTTGAAAAATCTTATTGTGATATAAATTAAACATGATTAAAAACATAATTGAGTTTCTCAATCAAAATGATACCTAAGCAACAACTCAAAACTTTAGCCTTAAATTTTCTCGTGGCAATGTAATGAAACATAAACTTTATTCTGGGACGTGAAGTCCCCTTGAATAGTTTATTTTATCTACAAACTAAAGAATACTAAAAATGTAAAGAATGAAAGGAATGGGGCTCAGCGAATATGGTGAGGAAATTCAATAGGCTGAAAACATGGGTGAGGAAAGAACAACTGAAAGCGGTAGATCGAAGATTGGGAGTGAGTTTGACAATTTGGTACAAAGGATCTGAAGGTAAGATTATAAATCATATAGGGAATGAAAGAAGAGGAATGAAAAGATATCAAATAGAGGAAGGAGCCAAGGAAGTATTACCTAATGTAGAAAGAGTTCAACTAGGGTACATATTAGTCATAGTTACGGAGCTGAAGCTAAAACTTACAAAATAATTCATTAAATGTATAAGCTTATCATCACCCGATATACTAAAGGGGAGAAGGTGGCACAGCGGAAATAATGAGGGTGTAAAATATTCCAGACAAGGTGGTCTGATCTAGGACAATGCTTTGTTAACCAGTGCACCAGGACCATATCGGTCGATTGTGCATCTCCCTCCATTTTTAATCTAGCTCCTCGTTAAGCTTTTCCTTATTAAGACAGAGAACACATTTCGCGGTTTTTCTTCTTGGCAATATCTGCACAGGATTGTTTCTGTCACTCCAAGTCTGTATGCCTCTGGAGTCTGCAGTGTCCAGTCAGTAGTCCAACTGTTATTCTAGTCCTATTTGCATGCCTATGTCCTGGTCTACATTCCTATTTAATCCATTGCCTAATGTTTGGTATGCCATGAAAGGTTCAGGGTCAATAGATCCTCATCGAACTTTCCTTGGCTAATTTGTCGGCCCTCTGTCCTGTTTGCCCTGGTATCCAGGCAAGGGTAATTTTGTTATTTCCCCCAATGTCTGACAAGGCTCTAATTCAGTCCCAAATGACTGATTTTACCACTGATGCGTCAATTCCTTCAGTCCGAATCAATGGCTATTCTTCTATCGACAATGCTCAGCTTTTTAATCTCACTGGCACAGTGTTCAATAGCCAGTTTCCTCTTAAAAGAAAGTGGCATATTGTCCATGGCTTATATGAATTCTAGTCCTTGGTTTATTTTCAAAAATGCCAGCTCCTGACCCATGTTAGTTTTTGGAGCAATCTGTAAACCAAGGCCAGCGTTAACTAACCAGATTCCTTTTTCCCAGTTGGCTCTACAATGTATTTTCATTAGAAATTTTTTGCCAAAACTGAATTTAGGAACTGGACCCAAATACAACAACCTGGGACTTCCTAAGTTCAAGTTAAGTCATTTCCAGTGGTTCCTGAATTCTTATTGTTGCAACTTCCAAATCAGTAGGTAAGAAGTAAACATAAATATGTGAGTCATCTACAGTGATAAGAATAATATTTTATGGATTTAGGGATGTCATTAATGTAGTAATAAAAAAAGGAAGCAGAGTTGCTTGAGTCCAGAAGTTATGGACTGCGGGGGTTATCTGGGATGGAAACTCCTTGAAAACGGTCCAAAAGGAAAGAGTGGATACCACTAGTGAAAGACACTGTGGTATCAAAGGGTTTAGAAAAATCAAGGACAAGAATGGTGATTTTCCATTGACCAATAGTGGTAGGTCAGAAAGGTCTTTAGAACATCAGGATAGGAAGGGAGCAAGGGAATTTGATTATTCCAAGTGAACAAACATGTGTAAATGGATTAATTTTCTAGAGGACTAGCAAGGTTAGAGAGGTCAGATGTTGGACATATTGGACTAAAATCATTTGGAATTTTGTAAAGTTATGAGAGTATAATTTCAGATATCCTGATTGAGAGACAAATAATTAGGGTATTTAACTTCTTAGTTATATTAACCCTTGGGGTGCCTAAACCGTTGCGGCCACCAAATAAACAAAATTAAGAATGATTGTTGTCCGATTGTTAATTTGGCAATAAATCATTTTCTATAATTGAATGTATTTGCTAAGGATGTATAATAATAATAATGTATTTAGTGATCGTTAATTAATGATTATTTGGAGATCATAAGATGCAGTCTGGTGTGATGTAGGTTCAGAAAACCAATTTCTTTATTGTGCGTGCCAATAGATCTTTATTGAGATTGGAACAATGGCACAGTAAAGAAAATGTTTTTCTAAACCTACGTCACACCAGGCTGTATATCACAATCTCCAAATAATCAATAATAATAATAAAAGCCATAAACAAAATTTTTACAACCTCTTGCATCAAGACCAAAGTCATTGCAACACATAGTTCTTATTTCGGTTATATTTTAATTTATTCAATTTTGTCAATGTTTCATTATTTATTTATTCATCTTATTTCATTTCTATTTTCATTTATTTCATGATTTATTTTTGTTTGGACCGATAACTCCTGAAATATTAGAAGGATGAGATTGTTCAAAAGAATTTAAAATTTGATAAAATACAATTGAATAAAGTTTTCAGTTGAGATAAAAAAAAGTTGCACGAGCGGGATTCGAACCCACGATCTTCGGCTTGATACGCAGCTGCTCTACCACTTGAGCTATCGTGACCTCGATCCACTCGGATACCAACCTCCCACCTCAACCACACTTTTTTGAATTTCCCCTCCTTTTATATTTGATAAAATACTGTTAGGTTAGCTTTGCTTTCTAAAATATAGGTTTAATTATCTAGGTAAATTAAAATAAATTAACTCCCGTCATACAGAGGGCATAAAATCCAATATTTGATGCTGTGAAGCCGGCTATGTCGAGATTTGAATTAAGCCTGCACTATTTCCTTTTTTTTTTTTATACACCTAATTGCTGCATTGTATTTTATATTTATATTAAAATGACATATTAATTTTACACAAAGATGTTCGCAACTCATATCACATAAGTAATCATTGATAAAAATATAATTAGTTCAGTGTTGAGACACAGAGACAATATTGTACCGTAAATTTAACAATGCTCCAAATCAAAATTTCCTTGACAAAACTAATTTACTACATATGACCAACAATTTAATTAAGAGTAAGATAAGTTAAGTAAGGAAAGATAGATTGTGAGACGCTAAATTTAAATAAATAACAAGATAAAGCAATATATATTTCATGCATAATGTACAAAAATCTAATGATCGAGGAACATCACCACTAGAAACTAAGCGGCAGTAAATGGAAATACTTGGTCAACTTCAATTATAATTTGTCCAGTTTTCAAATCAGCTCAGGATCTTTCAAAACATGGCAAACTGACTCAGTTATACAATTTGAACTCGATGAAAAAAAAAAAAAAACAGACTCGTGTGTAAATGAACTAATCTTTATGGGTTTACATAGTTGCTACGGCATCATATTTTTATAATGTTTGCTTTTCTGTATTCAAGATTGGTAATTTTGTAGTGATTAATTAGCCACGTTTAATTATACAAATTTAATTTTAGTAACATTACCATTTAAACATGCACACTATTATATTGTATTAATTATTATACGAGTTGAGTTGATACTAAAATGTTTTGGCCTAAAATAGTCCAAATATTAACTGCAATTTAGATTGCTTGTTTTGCTTGCTGGATTTGAAAAAAAAATCTTTTATTTCTCTTTAAACATTATTATGTTCTTTCTTGTATTGTGCATTTTATTATAAAATAAATAACTTTCTATTTGATATGAAATTGATTTATCAAAGTAAATTGTTCAAAAGTTATTCACTTGTACAAACTTGGAAATCGGACAATAAAGTTGTTATTTAATAAAAATTTCATGTTTTTGTAGTGAACATTCCTTAGCTCAAATGAGTATGAGTATTCTAAAGTGCACTCGTATAATATAAAGCTAGAATCTGAATTTCTGTTAAGCTTCTGGCGGCTATTTCATAAAATGTTACTCTTTTTTCGGAAATTAGATTATCAGTCAAACATTGTCCAAAAATTACAAAAGCAAAATCATTTCAGGTTTGTTTACGTTACAAAAATTGTTATGGCAAATTGTCAATTTTAGAATTTGCACTTGGTATACAAATATCTTGTCGGCTGGAAAAAAACAATTTGAAAGAAAATTGATTAAATGAAAATCACTTGTAGGTTAATAATCTAGTTCTCGCTGGTTTTCTTTATAAATCAAAGGAGACAATTTAACAAACTTAACATTTAAAAACTTAAAAAAAGGTCACAGTACATGACCAACCACTGATGATAACAAAATCCAAATGGTTTTTAGTTGGTGTGCATCCCAGCTGTATCCTCCCTCACACCTACAACTCATCCTGAATCCTTCCTCCTAGATCAATCAAAGCTGGTGTTTCACAAGGAAGTATCCTAGGTCCAATCCTTTACACAATCAACAATGTTGCTATAACTGCATGTTTTAACACACAGCTCACAATTTATACAGATGATCCTACACACTCTAATCCTATCCTAGTCACAGAAGTAATCCAACACCTTAACTTGGTGCACTTGGTGGCAGGTCAGGTTAAACAAGCAAATAAGCCAACAAGTAATGTTTAAGCTCAAACGTCAGAGCAAGGTAACACCTCCATCCATCCAAGATGGGCTGTACATGGAACCCACATACAAGATTAAAAAGACAAGAACTTAACGAAAAGATATGGTCTGCTCAGACACGTATGGAGCCAAAATCAACACCAAGCATACATAACAAACACTTACAAAAGACCAACTTGGACAGAGTCAAAATATACAGCTCAGCCAAATTCGCCAACTATAATATTTCAATCCTAAGTTGTGGCATCCTTAATGCTCCCTTCTACTTCATCAATCAAACAATCCATAAATATCTTAAAATCTCACTCTTGAAGGAACTTATCAAGTTTCTCATTTTCCATTGTAAATTATCCCTCCATGCTAAGCCACTAGCCCAGACTCCTTCCTCCATGCTGCCTAAAATGACGAAGGCCTCATGACTAAATAAAAATGGTTCATTGGCTGGTTTCTCTTCCCACTGACTCGTGGTCCTGTCAGATATGTATACAATTATCTATACTATTTGCTCAAATTTATCTTGTACAGATAGCAATAAATAAAATAAATTTAAAAATAGGCGGTGTAGCAGAATGAATGTTTGAGGTTATTATTTCAGATATCATGTTTGGAAAATGAACAAATAAATAACGACCTTAAACAAAGATAATTATTCTAAATTGCACTCAAAAGCAAAAATTTTGTTTTCTATCAAGCTTTGACTCCAAGCTAACTGCATGTTTTTGTTTTTCTGAAAGTATTGTTAACTCTGGCAACTATACTATTTGTAGTCGAAGTCATGATAGCTCAAGTGGTTAGAATAGATTGAGCCGAAGATCGTGGGTTCGAATCCCGCTCGAGATACTAACTTTTTCATTTCAACCAATACTTTACATAAATGCACTAATTTCGTGGTCCGCTTGACCAATCAATATATTACAATTAATTAAGATTTTTAGTTGAGATAAAAAAGTCAATGGCACGAGCGGGATTCGAACCCACGATCTTCGGCTAGATACGCCGCTGCTCTAGCACTTGAGCTATCGTGACCTCGATCTATATAATCCACTAATTTCGTGGTCCGCTTGACAAATTAATATATTACAATTAATTAAGGTTTTTAGTTGAGATAAGAAGTTAGTGTCCGAGTGGATCGAGGTCACGATAGCTCAAGTAGTAGAGCATATCTAGCCGAAGATCGTGGGTTCGAATCCCGTTCGTGCCATTGACTTTTTTATCTCAACTAAAAACCTTAATTAATTGTAATACCTTACATAAAGTTTAATTAATTGAAAGAAGTTATTTGGGCAATCGGACCACGAAATATAATGCATCTGGCAATTATTTGATGCAAACATGAAATGAGTCTTAAATCAGCTACATATTTGCTTCTATTGGAGACTTTTCTTTTTTCTACAATCAGAATTAATGATCTAAAACAATTATCGACCAATGAAGAACCACAAATTCCTACTTTTTAATCCAATTGCGATGTTGATTTGAAGTTGACCACACATTTTTCTACAAACAGGTTCAGCACTCTGAAATGATTGTCAGCCCTGAAAATCATAAAGTTTATCAAATCCATGTTCAACAATTGTCAGATCTAAAAGTCTTTAGTCAACTATGCATTTTTTCAATGCCATACAGAATTGACAGATATATATTTACCATGGTCTGAAACAATTGCCAAATCGAGTAATTGGATGCTCAACCACAATTTTCTACAGTCTGGCCCACTAGTTCAAAGACAATTGCCAGATATGTTGGTCGGATGGTCAACCAAAAATTCCTAGTTATCAAATTCGATGTCTGACAATGCTTAGATCTGACAAATACACATTTCCCACTACTGGAATTAAAGTTCTGAAAGAATAACTGGAGAAGTTAGCTAGGGAAAATTTGAAAGTCTCAACACATTGCACCCTGGGCCATTTTCGCCCAAGTGGAATCCGAATTTATCATGAAATTCATCAATTATGCAATAGATCTACCAGGTTTGATTGATTGAAAGGGGTAAAAAATCAATCAATTGTCAGATCTGAAAGTCTCTTGTTAACTATGCACTTTTTATTACCAAATCCGACATTTTACTCATCTATAATTGGAGACCTGGTCTAAAACAATTGCCAAATCAGTAATTGGATGCTCAGCCATACTCTGCTAGTCAGACCCAATGGACTAAAAACAGTTGTCAGATATGTTAGACAGATGGTCACCAAAAAATCCTATCAACTCCAATGTCTGATAAGTACACATTTCCCACTACTAGACCTAAAGTTTTGAAACAATAATTGAACCAAGTAGTCAGATGGTAAGCCCAGCATTTATGGCAGCTGGACTCATCTGTAAGCTAGCAGATGAATGGCATGCCACATATAGGCAAAGCGGATCTTAAATTCTGTAATCATGAACTGACCACACATTTTTTGCTATCGGATCCAACTGTCAGCGCTTGCAGATCAACGGTATATTTTGAATTGTCAATTATCAAATCTGGTAGTCAGATTGTCACTATCTATTCAATTTGCAAATAGTTGAACACACATCTTCTACTAACAGAACTAGAAGTTAGCTGGTTTGCCAAAAACTGCCTTTTACAATATCCAATCAACAAAGGCAGTCGCAGAAGCTTTAGGTACATTTGAATCACTTTTTTAAAATTCAATTTAGTGTTGGATTAAGCTATGTGGTATGCTAGTATTTAGTACTTTAAATGACATGCCAACAGATTGTTCTGGCATTATGTAATTAAATGTTATTCACTTACAAAGATAGTACGTTCCGTAGCGAGGACGTCTGAGTTCGTTGCACAGCAAGCCGACGTTATCTTTGGTCGGCCTGAGAAATACGATGCACTTCAGATGCTTCATCGGCTCAATTGATCCGGGCTTGTCGATGATCTCAAACAGGTAGACTTCCTTCTGCATTATTTCAGATTGTGAGTACACCATGGAGACTATGCTGGTCTATCGAAAAGATATTTAATTTATGTTCTATGAGGACTATTGTTTCATTACTTACTGTATACTGGTCCATCAGGAGGACTTTCATACCAGTGCCACTCTCCTCTGCCATTTTCGTCACGTACAGCTTCACCGCTGTGATGAGGTTCATTCTGGATCCAGAAACAGCAAAAACAGAAACGCCCAACTGAGATACTCAGTAACCGATTGGAAACAGAACTTCTGTTTGTGAAAGGTTACAAACAAACCCAGGAACCTTCAATCAGAATCAAACGTCACAGGAAAAATTTAATTAACATTTCGGTGAACTAATATATTTTTTTAGTTATAAATAAGAAAACTGTACTTATTTGACTTTTCTTTAACTATATGTATAATAAAGCATAGCTTTGAGTCCATGTAAGAAAATTCAAATCCATACAATTTTGTTTTAAAAAATAAATAGTTCATTTCACCCTCAATAAAAATAAATTAATCAAGCTTTTCAAGATTCTATAAAGCATTTTAAATATTTTCTTCTGTACTTGATTATTGTGCCTATATAATTCCAACTTTAAATTGATAGATATTGGACTGAACATTTATTTATTTATACGGGTAAATATACCCAATTACAAGTTCTAAGAGTTTAAATTTTACATAAGTAATAATAAATAATTGAAACATAAATAATAATATAAATATAATAATAATTAAAAATATCGACATATTCTACATAACAAACACAAATAAACTATTGTTAGTATTGTGTCATAATACACTTGTGTAAAACTATAAAGGAAATGAGAAGGAATGATAAAAATTTAATTAAACAACAGAAATATATAAACAAATATAAAGAAATTATAAAAATTTAATGAAAACAACAGAAATACATAAACAAATCAAACACAATTGCGATGATCAATATTTTAAAAAATCCATTATGTTTAGTAGTCTGATTGATCAAATTACTTTTTTCAATTAATTATTCTTTTTATGTAAGGCCTTGTAGATGTAGATGTAGATGTAATATTCGGGGTGTAATATACTGCGCCCTTTAAGAGCTATTGTAGCCCGCTTTCTCTGCCTAAAGCACATCGGTGAAGAAACTTGATTAATAGGCCTCGTTTCAGTGGTTGAAGCTCTTTTATGGTCACATTATTCATTCCAAAACATTTCCTCCTGCGGGCTAGTGTAGCTCCGCAGTTTGTTAGTAAATGTGTCGGTGTCTCTTCTGCCTCCTTGCAGAATCTGCATGTGCCATCTTGAATTGTTCCAATTTTCTTTAAGTGTCCATTTAATCTGCAGTGTCCTGTTAGGAGTCGCAGTCTGTTCCTGCTTCCTTTGACATGTTCTGTGATTTCTTTCCTACCAAAATTGGTTAGAAGATTCATGGATTGTCTATGTCCAATGAGTGATTTCCATTGTTCGTTCATTTTCTTTTTGTCCTTCTGTCTGAGATATTCGTTAATAGTGTGGATTCCTATGCCACAGAAGGGTTCAGGTCATATCAGCGGTGTAGCAGACCCTTTCCTTGCAAGGGTGTCCGCTTTCTCGTTGCCTTCTGTCCTGGGACCCAGCGAGGCTGACTATTCTGCTTACCTAATATATTTAGTTTGGTTTTGCAGTTCAGCACCATCCTTGAATGGTTTTTGAGCTTAGTGCTTTGATGGCTGCTTGGCTATCTGACATGATAGCTATATTCTTGTTTTTGTACCCTTTACTTAGGTTGAGTTGGGTACATCTTTAAATTGTATGAATCTCAGCTTGGATGATACTGGTGTATTTTCCCATGGGTTCTGAGTATTTGGTTCCAGGTCCAAATACTCCTGCCCCCGTACCTTCTTGCGTTCTAGATCCAACTGTGTACCAGAGGATGTATTATATGTAAGGCCTTAGTTGAAATGAAAAAGTTGTCACGAGCAGGATTCGAACCCACGATCTTTGGCTCGACTTTTAATTTCAAAAAATGTTTAAATAGACTTAAGGAAAGGTCTGAGTGTCACAATGTAAAAGAAGTTTATTAATCGTTTCCTTGTGTCGAGGAATCAAACTAAATTTTCAATAATTTTGATTATAATTAATTTTGAAAATCTTATTTTTTGTCCAGTGTTGAAACATGGAAATTTAGCAAATTAATTAATTGTGGGCAGTCGATCATATTATTTAAGAGTTTGTAAGAAAACATTTTGTCATCTTATGTTTAGTGGTTGCAGTTCTGTGATAAATTCGTATGGTGTATCAAAGTATGCTCTAGTAATTTTAAAACAGAAACCGAATAAATCATCACTGTACATTTTCTATTGAATTACTTAATATTTTCTGTGGTGACCAAACTAAACAGTATTCTAAAATGGGAAAAACAATAGTCTTAAACTGTTTCTGCATCCTTAAACTTTTTTGTAGCTCTGTAATGCAGTTTGATTTGCCGTATTAATTTTTGAGGTTCACAAGTTAAATGTCAGGTTGTTGGAGTAGGTAATTCCTGATGTCTTTAATGGTAGTCTGCCTGTTCAATTGGATATCTTGTATAATGTATAATTACATCCTAGACTATAACTAAAAACCTTACACTTATTTCCATTTAGTTCCATGCCGCTGCAGGACCACTCAAGATTTTTGCAGAAGCTCAGCATCATGAATAGAAGTTATAGTGGTATAGAACTTCAGGTCATCAGCAAAGAGAAAAATTAGCTGAGTTAAAACGAAGAGAAATATCGTTAATAAATATTTAGAAAAGGAATGGACATTTGCAAGATTGGTCCCAACCCAATAAACTTGCAAAGCTAAAATAATACTCAAACTACACCAAAATTTGTTTTTGGTGTAACTTTTTCAACAATGGAGAAAAAAATAACTAGTTAACAAACTGGATGAATTCACCAGGTGAAAAAAATCCTCAACATCTCAACCAGGAAAACAATCTACCTCTCTCCTAGCAGACGATTATAATAATACTTTATACTTGTCATTGCATATTCAATTTTCCTTAAAAACACCTTTATTTAAAAAATGGGATAAACTCAAACTATCAACTGTCATGAAACAGCAGAGGGATTGGAACATATGTGACACAACTTGTAACCCTGGAAATGCGTTGCTAACACCTGGAGAAGTTAGCTACAGGGGAAATTTGGAAACTCTCATCACGTTGACAGCGTCCTATGCTTGGCCTATTTTGGTTGCTCAACTGGAATCTGAATTTATCATGTAATTCATCAATTACGCAAAAGATTTACCAGGTTGCAATGGACAAAACTTCACCACGTTTGATTGAAAGGAATAAAAAATAGATGTTAAAAATCATATAGATTACAATAAAATTATATCTTTATTTGAATATATAATACAAACTTTAAAAAGCAAGAAACTTTAAAAAGAGAAGGAGGTATTAGAATTTAATTACAAAAAAAGAAAGAAAAACTTAATAAATAGTTCATAGATGTATTTACAAAAAATTTGAACATATATTTTAACCACAAATAAAATATATAAGTCACTTTTATTTTTAAAAATAATTACATGGACAAGACATTTCATCATCTTTCTTATGTTTATAATATATATACTTATTTATAAAGTAGTGGAGGAGACTTGACAGTTTAAGTTTAGTAGTAAGGCCTTCTGGGATTATTCTGTAAAATAAAAGCACAATTTAAATAATCTCACAATAAAAAATTTAAGGTTAAACGGACAAATATTAAATACCAAAGGGTTTGGCCTAAACCTATACGCCAGCATCATACGCTTACGGTAAGCATCATATTCATCATCTTCGCAGGATATATCACCAGGCTTCTCAGAGCCCAAACCCTGGTTGGAATCTCTTGAAATTGCTCTAAAATATAAAATAAAGGATAATTTAACAGAAAAAATTAATTAAATAAAATGGAAAAGTTGCGTACTTATTAACGGGATCTATGATTCCTCCTCCGTCTAAACCTAACCCCTGCCCCTCAGACCAGCCGAGCTTTTGTAGCATTTGGAATCCTTTGTTGTCTTCTTTTAATTTAAATTCTTTATAATCAGATAAATCAGGTTCTCGGCCACCTTTGACTGCACTGTACTGTAAAAAAACAAAAATGCATTAGTTAAAAAACTAACAAATATTGCAACCAAATTATGTTGTGACCCATCAAGGCTGTTGATGTGTGGATATTATTGGCCTGTTTGCTTTTGGACTTAATTCGGAGCTGGAGTGGAAAAGGAGGAAGGGCAGCATCAGCACTCCGAGCAGGATTCAACTAGTGATCATCCTACATTCTAGACCAATGATTTCATTTAGTTGGGACTCTTCGCCAGCAGCCAAATACAAAATGGCGCCGACAAACACCGCCGGATATAGGAGTTGAATTAATAAGAAGATTGTTTCGGCACCAATGGGAATGGAAGATTCCGATTGAATAGATGTTAGTTTAGGAATGGTTAAATGAAGGAATAAATAATGAACGAAAGGAGTAATTGAAGACTCACTGTTTAATGAAATTTCTATGGCCGTTTCTATCTATTCTACAAGATGGCCGATGATCGTATTGGAGATCTGAAGGTGATGACGGTCTAAAGGCGATGAAGACCGGAAAGCGGTGAATGCCTCCTGAATGCGATATCATGTGCTGTTCAGCGGTGACTAGGCCAGTGCACCGACTTGGTTCCCGCAGCGTCGTTGATGATGATGATGGATGGTGAAATCCAGTAGCGATGGCAATGAGACGATGCAATCCAGGTAGTAGCCAGTGAGATGATGAAGTCTTCGAGGGATAATGATGGATGATTCGTTCGTGGGATTATAATGATGATAGATAGAAAAAGGGAGATGAGATATTAAGGGAAAATGGCGATAATAAGTTTGGTGATCATACAGTCGGGAGATGGGATGAAGATCATATGGTAATTTGAAGGGGAATCCGTGGGGATTCGCATGGCGAGGAAACTTTAAGAAACAGCGATCTTACATGGAGGTGAATTACTATGGCGCAACACTTTGGGGAGATAAGGCGATAAAGGGTGTGCTCGCTCCAAGAGCTGGCGGAGAAGAGAGCACAAAAAGGCTGGTTTTTGAGGAAAAAGGAGGGAAGTGTGTTATGATTGGTGGACTTCCGGAAGATAGGGGTTGTAGATAGAGGGGTACAGTGTACAGGGTGACAGATATGCACCCAAACAGGGACTATACCATCAAATTTATGTGTTTGAAGGTTTAAAGTGAGAATCGGCTCTGACTACCTACGCTGCAATCCTATCCTAGTAATAGAAGTGATCCAAGAATACCTGGACCTCATTACTTTCTGGCACTCAGATCAAGTAAAAAGAGCAAAAAACCCAATATGTGACATTTATACTCAGACACTAGACCTGCTCATGGTGTACCCACTCATCCAGCGTATCCAAAGTACTCCACCAAATCCTCTACATAACCAATCCAATAATCCAAGCTTGGTGGGCTTAAACTAACCTAAACATCGAATTCCTGGTCTGAACTGAACTTAGAAAGGCAGCAGCCTTGTGATTATCTTGACCCTATTCTAGTCCCAACTAAGGCTGTGTACAGAGTGGCGCGACGAGCAGAGCGACGTGTGTAGCATAGAGCAAAGCAACGAAAACATGACGATGACAAACGGGCATGCACAGAGTCGAGTGCTGTTCGAAGGTCGCGCAAAGCTTCGAAGAGAGAGCAGAGCGTAACGATTAACCCAGTTTGTTTTCGTTGCTCTGCTCTACATAGTTCTCAGGTTTTAGTTTAATTTTTCATTTTGTATCGAAATAATTTTATGTTAAAAACTATATATAACATAAAAAATTATTTCGTTGTCAGGATAAGAAATAAAAGGTATTTATGTGAAATTTGTTTTAAACTGAAATGAGTGGATTATTTTTTAAATACATAGCCGTTTATTTTTTTTTTTTTAATTATTTCTACTAAATTGATAAATATATGTTGATATTTATTTGCCAAAAGTGACTTTACTTTTTGTTTACGAATACAGCGTCATTCAATTTTTACTATATATCTGCACTGAAGGTTAACTAACTCCTCAAATATTTTCACGCAGCTCGTAGCAAATCATATTTTTTAAATTGAAATCTTATTGTATTGCAAATTCCTATCTAGGCATTTTTTAAAGGTTGTGACACACATTTAAACTTTTTGTTTCATACTAATCAATTTTTACTCCGTTCCTAAGGGATTTTATTACACGATTGTACTCCACGCTTGTTTCAAAATAATTGGTCTAGAAAATAGGTAAACAATGGTTTCAATATAACGTAGAGTTTTGGCGAAAAAAATGTAACATATTTGAAAAACTATGTTACCAGGAGAAGCATCTCTTATGATCCAGTAAGAAAATTCTTGTTGCGAAATAATTTATGCGATAAAAACGTTACAAAATTATTTGAGTTGCAGGTTGTGCTTGATAAACTATTATTTAATTGAAAAGGTAGTTTATCATAAACTAAATTCAGTGTATAGTAAAAATACTGTAAAAAAAAGCCTTAAAGTTACAGCTAGGTGTTCGTCAGGCATGATTGGATTCAAATTATAGTTTGTCCACCGTTTTTGATCAACTTGTGCTGAACTTTGTCGAGCAAGTAGTCAAACGTAGTCATACTCATTCGGAAATATTGGTAAAATTTAGAGGGGTCTTCTCATAACTTGCGAAATAAATGATGAAATTCTCTGTTCTCACCTCACGATCGATTAATGGGATGTATGCCTCTGATTTCCACCCACGCGTAATTAAATGCCATATTTTCAACGATGATTTTCCAGGAAGAAGTAATTGGGATCCATTATCACTCAACAGGGAAGATGATAATACTGCACAGTGCACAACTGACAACCATTCCTTTCACATCCACGCTCTTTTCTCTACGTAATACTCGTCGCTCCACTCTGTATTGACCATTTCTTTGCTCTCTAATGACATTCCTTGCGTTTTCCTCTACTCTACATTCGTCGCTCTGCTCGTCACGCCACTCTGTACACAACCTAAGTAAAATAGAGTTCCAACACTGGCTGGTTTATTTTCCCATCACCTCATAGTATGACAGATCGGTCAGATTTGTATGTACTGATTGCTCGATGTATATTTTTGTACTGATATCAAAAGATATTTATCTTAATTGTATGTAATGAACCCTCCCATCTCATGTCGAGCTATCCCCGACCACCCAAATTTTGAATAAACCAGACAGGGTTACATTGTAAAGATTTATTATTATTTACCTTATCCATGAACCGTTTCAGTTCATCTGGTGGTAAAAAATCGCCAATATGATGTTTCCCTTTGGCCATCTCGGTTAACGACTCAGCCCATTGTTTTGTTGCTATCATTTCTTTCTCTCGCAATTTATGTTCCCAAGTACCTCCATCCACTTCCTCATCGGAATCGTATTCGTACTTATTTTTCCCTTGAGCTCTGAGCTTTTCTATCTGGGCTTTCTTGTTCATCATATCTTGGTACAAAAGGTGTACCTGTGAAATAAACGAATCGATAAAACAGATCATGCAGAACTGATGGTTTAGTGTTAGTATTTAGAAAGTACTAACCTTGTAATTGTCTTCGGCCTTTTTCCAATCTTCCTCTGTAAGCTGAGCACTTCCATAAGCTGAAATGGCATACTGAACCAATCCAGGGTCAGACCTTGTGACTTTTGTTAATAAATGACCTGACATTCCTTTAAAAAAATAAATAAATAAATTTTTAAAAAATTAATTTTTAAATGATTGCAAAAATAAATTATAAAAAACAGACTAGGGCATTTTTGAAAAATCACCCCTTAATTTTATTCATACATATATATTTTTGGAGTTTGTTTATACACACTTTGCACAGATTGTGTGTACAACCTATTCACCTGTGACAGAGATGGTAGGTGTACTCGGAAAGATAACAGCTGCTGGCTTCACATCTTCGGCAGTGTTTCCCCACCGGCTTTTCCGTTTTCTCTCTTTTTCACCTGCAATAAAGCGTTGTAATTGATACATAAAAATGATGTAAAAAAAAATACTTACCAGATTTTTGTAAATTGTTTAATAGACTTGTTTGCTCTGGAGGTTTTGAGCAAGCCTCTTGCTGTTCGAGTTTAAAACTAGGCCTTTCATCCCAATCGGAATCGTTTTCCAAAGGTTGAATTTCTTTTTTTACTTCAATCTCGTTTATTGGGAACTGTTCTTCTTTGATTTTATTCTGTTTGCCTTCCGCGTTCGAAAAAGTAACCAAGGGATTACTAAATGATTCACTACAATTAATCAATATTAATTGAATATTAAAACTGTAATTTTATTCGACAGTGTTAAACAAACCATTGCGATGATCCTTCTTCCTCGGTGACAGCCTCCGAGGGTTCCTGCTTAATTTGATTCTCTTGAAGAAATGTCCCAGAGTTTTCCTGGATTATGTCTGCAGGAACTAGTAAACTCGAGTCAACCATCTATTTCATATTTATCAAAAAACTCTAAAGTCTCCCATACAAACAGTTTCTACCTTCCTACCCTTAATTTAATGATTCCCTAAGACTCACTGATATTTAAATTTAACAAACTCGTTAAATGAATTTTAAACAAATAATTTTTCAACTAATAGAAACAATTTACTTAAAATAATGAAAATAAATTTTAAACAAAAATCAATCATAAGTTAGAAATGATTGCGGATAAAATTCAATATTTATGAGACATTTACAACTTCTGTGGTAATTTGAATTTTGGTTGATCATTAGTCAGAAATCACCAGTGATGAACTAAAATTGATGATGATTGATATTATAATTATCGTTTGGCTTGAAATGTTTTACAAATCAGTGAGTGAAATTTAAAAATAATGGCATTAAAAAGAATAAAAAAATAATTATTAATTTTAAAAAATAATACAATACTGAAATGAATAAATAATATTGATAGAATTGCAAATCTTAAAATAATTTTACTCTATTCTTTCTTCCATTATTATTATTATAGTAAAACTAATAGTCAAATTTCAAGTGAGTCATACCTGATTAGGAATTTTAAGTTTCTTTTAAAAAATGACAACAAAAATTAAAAGTTACCTTCAGTCGATGAAACTGTCTTGGCTTTATCAATTGGAGAGCCAGGCTTGTCATCTTGAGGGACAGGAGAATAAAGATCACTTTGAGACAGTTTAGGAGGTGGTGTGGCCGGATTGAAGCTAGAAGGGGAGGAGGAGAATTGTTGTGGGCTAACATGAGAAGGCGAACTGCCTAGAGATTGGACACCTGCATTATTTAAGGCCAGTGTTAAAGGAATAGGGGGTGGTGGGGGAGGAGGAGGTGGGACGTTGAGATTCAAATTCGGAGGGGGCATGCTCATATGAGGTGGTGGAACGTTTCTGAAATTCAAGGGACAAGAGATGGGCGGTAAAGGCGGGGGTGGAGGCGGTGGAACCAAAGTTACAGGATTCGAATTAGGTTGGCACAATCGTGGTAAAGGAGGGGGCGGTGGATGAGATAAATTTAAAAGGGGAGGAGGAACAGGACAAGGCGGCGGGGGAGGTGGTGGCGGCATACACGGCATCAGAGGTGGAGGCGGTATGCAATGCGGTATCATTGGTCTCGGGGGTGGTATATTCTGTATATTAAGGGGGCTGGGTGGAGGTATGGACTGTGGTAAAATGGGAGAAGGGGGAGGTATGTTCTGCGGGACTAATTGCCCTGGAAGAGGTGGAGGAACATTATAAACATTTTGTACAGGCGGGGGTTGTGAAGTAACTGGGGCCGGTACACTGGTCAAGACTGATGAAGAAGCTACATCGTTTTTTAAAGGGGAACGAGATCTCGATCTGTCAGTGGAAGTAACAACATGACTTTTCACAATATCGTCTACTCCAATTTTCTTCCCTTTAAAAATCAATTACAAAATTATTTATACAAAAAATCACTTACAATTTAAATACCTACTATCTACCTGCAAGTTTCCTGAATTGATCAAGAAAGCTTCCATCATTCGAAAATATATTGAGACTTTGCGGCCTTTCTCCATCAGATCTGTCACCACTGAAACAAAAATGACTTTTGTCCCAATTTCTATGGATCAAATGCAAGGTTAGTTTAAAAAAAATTAATTAAATAAATAAAATGATAACAGTGTTATTCAGTTTTTTCCTTATACTACCGATTAGTTTATTTACCCATTTGAAAAATTTAATAAAATACCTAACAGAATGTAAGTGTTGCAAGGTTACTTGAGTCCATCCTTTCAGACGTCTTTACTGAAAGGTAAAAATATAAAATGGAAAATTGATGTTTTTATCTTTTTGGGTGATAATTTTATGAACAAACACTTGTTGGCATAAGGTGATTTTTGACCAGCCAAGAGATTATGAAAATAATCATTACCACATTTCTGATTATTGATTGAGGACTATCTATTCATTGGAAAATATTAAAAAAAGTATGAACAACTGTTTTTGAGTTTGAGTTAATTTCTAATAGTTATATCAATTTGTTTACAACATTGTAAGTTTAAGGCCTAAAGCAGACATAGGCTTGAGTGGAAATAAGCAGAACAGTGCAGCGCGGGTTTTTTCAGCCCTGCCTTTGTAAGCAGCATCGGTGATAATCAAAATTTTTATTCTCAGCCTCTTTAAGAAAGACAATTAAATTTTTTCTGTGTCCTTTGGCCTGAAACCTGTCTTTTGAGATCTTCACAGCACAGACTTACCTTTTCAACATACACTGCCAGGATAAAATTTATTTTATTTTATTCATTTTTTTGCTTGTTAAGAGTCCTCTTAATAAAAAAAAGCCCTGAATACAAAGGGAAAACTGTAGCTCAGGTAATTTGTGATGTGTTTGGTAATTATGTTACTTGTTTTGTGAAAGCACATTGTCAGCCTGGAGCCATTGAAAAAGGTTTAAGAATAGGAATAATATCAAATGAAATCAAAGAAGAAAAAATATTAACTGAAAGCAATTTTTTGATGTAGCAGAACGGTTAAAGCATAATCCTGTTTTTTGTGCCAGTTATTCAGAGATGAAAGCCACGATAGATCAAATGGTTAGAACAGCGGCATATTGAACCAAAGGACGTGGGTTCGAATCCCACTCGTAACACTAACTTTTTCATCTCAACCCTTAGATAAAAAGAATAATTCATTGACATAATTAATATGGTCAATTATGACCACTAAATATGCATGGAATAATATACACTGATGGACTAACTTTTTCATCTCAACCAAGACCTTAGACAAAAATAATAAGTTATATATACAATAATACAGGGTGTTCGGCAACTCGTGTTATAAAATTTACCAGTAGTTTTTACATACAAAATGTAACCAAAAGGTCCTAATAAACTATGGTCTGAATCTCAGCAGTTTCGGAGTTATTCCACTTTTTTTTATTTTTTACGATTTCACGACCTTGCTTCAAATAAACAATGATAACTCCAAAACTAAAATGTTTTGGACAAATCCATTGATACCATTGAAAAGTACGTTAAATTTCCAATAAGATGTGATCAATACTAAACTTGTAAACGATGGTGCAATAAACGTAGTAGCCTGAGCTTAGAATTTTTTTTTTTTTTTTTTTAAGTTGAAAAACTTACTTTGGTGATTCTAACTACTATTTCGAAACCTAGAGACCAGCAAATTTCAGAAAACGTACTCAATTTAATATCCTTTTTAGTGGTGTAATTGCTTTTTTAATTACTTTTTTAAAGATGAAGAAATTGATGAAGGACATGGTTGACAAATTGGTAAGGTGGAAAGGTTAAAACATAAATAAATAAAAAAACTTAAGGAAATTTTGAATGAATTTATCAAACTTTTTTAATTTGGATTGAAACTGAAATAGTGCAAATGTTTACTTATTTACCAACACGACTGCTACTTTGATTAAAGGATTATTGTCTTATTATTCCCTGGAATAAAAGAGTTTTGTGATTCAAAACGTTTTTAGTTCATTCATTCAAAATTTTCTTTTTTCCTGCCCTTCCAAAGTTTTTTATTTTTTATTATTAGTAATCTTTCCACCTTACCAATCTGTCAACCACAGTTTTTTTTCCTTTTCCTTCATCAATTTCTTCATCTTTGAAAAATTAATTAAAAAAGCAATTACACCACTAAAAAGTATAATAAATAGAAAGTATAAAGTATAAATCTCCGTGGCCATTTCATTTGTCGCTGAGAATCAAATAGATTACACGACATTTGAAAAAAGGCAAAAAGCAGGGAAAATTCAAAAGGTGTGGTTGAGATGGGAAGTTGGTGTCTGAGTGGATCGAAGTTACGATAGCTCAAGTGGTAGAGCAGCGGCGTATCAAGCCAAAGGTCGTGGGTTCGAATCCCGCTTGTGCCATTGACTTTTTTATCTCAACTGAAAACCTTAATTAATTGTTAGATATTAATTGGTCAAGCGGACCACGAAACTAGTGAATATAATAAATAGAGTACATTTTCTGAAATTTGCTGGTCATACGTTTGAAAATAGTAGTTTAGAATCACCATAGTAAGTTTTTCGACTTGGGGAAAAAAAATTATTTTTTAAAGTTCTCGCTACTAAAACGCTAATTTCATTAATGTTTACAAGTTCAGTATTGAATACATTTTATAGGAAATTTAACGTAGTTTTCAATCGTATCAACAAATTTGTTCAAAACCGTTTAATTTTGGAGTCATCATATTTTATTTGAAAGTAAGGTCGTGAAAACTTAAAAAATCAGAAAAAGGGGGGTAACTGCGATACTGTTCAGATTCGGACCATAGTCAATTAGGACTTTTTGGTTTCATTTTGAATAGAGAATCTACTGACAAGGTTTTTAACACATATACAAAAGTATATACAAAAAATGTGTTTTTTTCTCTTTAAGAGTCTAGTGTAAATCTTGTGTGTCGTTCACTGAAGATGGTGAAATGCCAAACCAACCAGCGAACAGGCAGAGCAGGATGATCAGTAATGATCAAATTACAGGGTTCCTCACCTTGCAGACCACAGGAGGAAATCTCATGGATTTCTTGGGTGTTAAAAGTGTGATATTTTTGGTAATGTAATGGTTTACGTTCTGGGTTATTTTTAATCAAAAACAAGCAATTATTGGTTATTTTTCTTCTTGCCTTTTAAGGATAGGGTTAGTACATTATAAATAGGTTGGCAAAGGGAATATAAAAAATGTACCATTTCCATTTGGTCGGGTCGTCTCCGGAATCGTCGCTTCTGATTTTCTTGAGCGCTTCTTCCGCCTCCCTCCGCTTCTGTTCTTCCAACTTTTCCTGTATCTGCTTCTTCTTCTCTTCTATCAACTGTTGTTGCCTGGTCATCTGCTTGAACCTGTCGTTCCTGTTGGTTTTTGAAAATATGCTGTCGGAATTCCTCGAGGACATTTCAGCCGTGGGTGGGCGCACAAAAAAAAAAAATAAATAAATAAAAAATAAAAAAAACCTATCACCGTGAAATAAACAGGAGCGGACTAAAATAACTGTAGTGCGACATAAGACGGGTAACCTACAAATGATTCGGACGCGATAAATCGAACCGGCTTTTCGGCCTACTCGGATAAATCCAATCAATAAATTTAACCCGATAATCTACACGGGTTTAATTTAAGATAATCTTCATCCCTGGAAAAATGTAAAATACAGAGTCTATAGGTGGTTTATTCGTATTCAAGCACGAAGGTACATCGAGTCGTTAAAAAAAAATACTTTCGTTATCAGTTTCGACTGCTCAGTCGATCTCAGATTTTAATCGAGACCTATACTTTGAATAAAAAACTATAAAATAATATTAAAAACGTATTAAAATTATTAACAAAAAGTAGTTATATTTTTTCGGCCTTTAATAAACTTGTCAAACATTCTGTTATCCCATGAATGATAATGAGGAACGAGAACATCCCGCGTTTTTGCCTTGCGATAAGTGATAAGGCCCGGGAAGTAAAGTACAAATTTCGCCTTTTTTTCTGTGTTCAAAGTCCGTTTTAAAAGTTAATTTAAAATAAAATGGCTAGCGATATGAGTGAAAATCCTTGGACGGAAGAGCTGTCAGTCTTGGTAAAAACAATTTCGTCTATTTGATACGGTTTCTCTTTACATACTCATGCTTATGATCGTATTTTAAAAAGTATGGCAAAGGTAGGATGAAAATTTACTTCGTTTGGTCAGGATATTTTAAATATTTTCTTTTGATTCTTTTCATCTAGTTTTCCTTCTTATGCTGGTTAAATTCTCTTGTTATAGATGAGATAGGTATAGCTGTAAAAGATGTGGCTGCAAGGCCTTCCTCAACTCGACTTGAGTATTGTGCTCCTTTGTTTTTTATAACTCACTGTCCAGGTTCAGGTTGTTAATTAAACTTCGCAGTCTTGCTACGGCTTTTCAATTCCAGTTGCAAGAATCTACACCTACATAGACTCATAAAAATATATAATGGGTTCTGCGGTCTGTTCTTCCGGGCAGTATCTGCACGGTGTTCCTTTCAGTACTACCACACGCCTCCAGCTCCTGTGGCCTTCAGATGTATCTATTCCTTTGGATCGTTTTTTTTTCTATTTCTGGTATTAGTACCTTGTACTTGTTTGTGAAGTTGTTGTCGGCCTCCATCATTCATCTTGGGCTCAAATTCCAAAATTATTGTTCTATAAAGTTACTAATTTGCATAAACAAGGACTATTTTTTAATTTATCAAAATTCACATTGGCCTCCGTTATATCCTTATATCTGGAATAGTTATTTGATTGAAAATCAGTTTCTAAATTTTTTAGATACTTTCGACAAACACATTTTGCCAAAAGCTCAAGCAGGCGATGACATATGCTTCAAAGAAGCTGTACAACAAGGAAATAAAGCTCAAACTGGCTGAAGATGTTGAGAGCATATGTTTATCACCTCAGCCGGACACGTTTGTAGACTATGTGGCTGTCGTTGTTGATACTACGATGCCTAATGGCTCAGAATTTGTAAGCAATAGATTTAGATTTGCTAAAATTACTTCTTTTATTTAAAAGTTTGTATTTTTAAATTGTAGTGTAAGGAAAAACTACGCCTTTTAGAACCGAATTACTTGTCCACTCGCATTTGCCTTGTGAATGGTTCTTGCAGCACTGGCCCTCTTCCCGTTGCAAAAAAACTGGTCAAATTGGCCGATGAATATAATATTCCTTTTATTAATGGTGAAATAATGGTAAATAAATACTTAATATAGTGATTTTCCTTGTTATATATAATTTATTTATTTTAGGACAATAATAGCTGCAAATTAACAGGCGAAAGGATTCTGAAGATGGCTGTAATATCTACTGGTTTTCAAACGGGCATTCCAGTTCTCATACCGACTCCCAAGGATTTGGAGCTTATAAGTTAGATTTTTGAATGATTTAATTTAAAATATTTATTTAATTAATATTAAAATCACTATAATTTATGTGATTTCGCCAAGAATTATATATTTATATCTGTTAAAAAAATAAATAAAGCTTTCTGTTCCTACAGCAAAACAGTACTGAATACTCGTATTTATATAAATAGGAAATGCATTTAAAAAAAATATATAAAAAAAATAAATAAATAAAAAGTTTTCGCAAAGTTTAATTTGTGGTCCTCTAATTAAACAGGAGTTGAGGTAAAAATGATAAAATAATTCAAGATTGCCTAAGATGACGTTTTTGAAAAAATATGTATATAACTTTTCAATAATTAATTTTTAATTAAGGTTTTGGTTGATATTGTCACCTCTGAACTTGAGGTACATTTAATTACCCCTGAAATTAGTCAGAGTACGCAGGGGGATACAAAGGAAATCAATAAACACACCAATTGGAATCAAATTCTTTCACCTTTTATTCAAGAATTAAGAACACACATCGGTTAGTCCCTTCAAGTCAGTACCCAGGACAAATGTTATATCGGACTTACGGACGCGCTTGTCAAACGTTAGGGTCGCGGCAAGATCCAAGCGAGCACTCCTGCCTCAGCTTGTTCGTCACCCCCCTCCTCTCACTCTTATCTCCTATGTCCGGGCTGAGCCCGTGACAATATAAAAAAAGTGTCACAAGCGGGATTCGAACCCAAGACCTTCGGCTAAACACGCCTCTGCTCTAACCACTTGAGCTATTGTAAATTTGATTCACTCGGACACCAACTCCCCATCTCAACCTACATTTTGAATTTTTCCTCCTTTTTGCCAATTTTCAAATGTCGTGAAATCTATTTGATTCTCGGCGACAAATGAAATGGCCACGGATAGCTTTAGTGAAGTATACTTCATTTTGCTTATTACATATTTAGTTTCATAGTCCGCTTGACCAAATAAATTCTTTTAAATTAATTAAAATTTTATTTACATTATATAATTTTATAAAACTAATCCATATGTTTAGTGGTCGTAATTTCACCATATTAATTATTCCAATTAATTATTATTTTTATCTAAGGTTTTAGTTGAGATGAAAAAGTTAGTGTCACAAACGGGATTCGAACCGACACTCCATTAGCCAAAGCCCACTTGCGACACTGACTTTTTCAACTCAATCAAAACCTTAGTTAAAAATAATAATTACTTGGAATTTTATAAAGCATTTTCATGTGTAGGTGTGGTAAAATTTTATCAACAATTTATTTTGCATTATTACCTACCTTGTCAGGCACTTTCAAACTTCATATATGATACATCAATGTGTTTTGTGTGTGGAAAAAAAGAAAAACATGAGATATATTGTATTATAAACAAATATAATGTGTACATATTTGCAAGATTTTTCCCTCCATAAAAATTCATCCAGTGTAAATTATTAAACACGCATTCCTGCATGCTGGAGAATAGAGAACGGTGACCCCTTCATTACATTGCCTATACATGATTGGGCTGCTGCTGCCATCGAACCTGCTGTAACTCCGACTGCAGTTATCCCAAACCAACCAGCTACAGGAGCAATAGCGGGTGGACAGAGGACAAGAAGAACACATGTTGTAGTTGTGACCACCACAAAGGCAATGCAATTGTATCACCCCATTTCTTTGCTTAAAAAAAAAAAAAAAATAAAATGATAAAATAAAAAACTACCAGTACACAGTATACAAAATGCCCTATTGACCCTCAATTAGGTTAGTTATATAACGTGATTGTTTTGTTGTATGTAGTATTGATGAACTTTGACTGTAATTCCACATGGCCGAATCGAATAACTGCTCGGTTACTATAAAAAATTCATTTGGCAAATATGCAATGCCCGAGAAACTTCTCATATGATATTGATTGTTGAAGGACTTCCTCCTCTTAGAAAGGATAATCTTTCTAATCACAGATATCATGTCAAATGCAGGCATACTACCAAACTGCAAGTCAAAGAATACAAAATGGTTCACTACAACCTGAAGGATATTTATTCTCAAATTTCCATTTTACATATACAATACACAAAATTTACCACATTCAAACATAAGACTTTAATCGAACAAACAAAAAGGGTTTGTAACAATAAAATACACAAAAAATCTAATTCAGCAATTCTAGAGCAAAATGAGAACATCAATGAACTAAGAAACAAAATAGTAACGGGAAACTTGGATCGCAATGATGGCAAGACAATAATGGAATTGCATTCTGGAGTATGTGAAAACAAAATTATTTAACAAAACAATCCTAAAGTGCAACATTCCATAAACAAAAAAATCATGAAAAATTTTTGAAATACTACTGATACAATAACCTTCAACAGTCAAGAATTAGAATATGAAGATTTGCAACTTGTGAGAGAGAAATTTGATACCGTGAAGAATTGACCATATTAATTATTTAAATTCACTAATTTCGTGGTCCGCTTGACCAATTAAATCATTACAATTAATTAAGGTTTTTAGTTGAGATGAAAAAAAGCTAATGGCACGAGCGGGATTCGAACCCACGATCTTTGGCTAGATACGCCGCTGCTCTACCACTTGAGCTATCGTGACCTCGATCCACTCGGACATCAACTTCCCATCTCAACCCCACCTTAGAGAATTATTTTGGTATGAAAGAATTTTTTTTTTAGAATGTTATAGAGGGTTTGCGTATAAAAGATGTGGTGTCTGTAGGCTGAGTAGATTGGACGTGCAGAAGAAAGTGTTTTGTTGTAATAATCTCATTGCAACAAGGACAGACAGGGTGTGGTTCTCTAGCCGTTAGATGACTTAGTAATCCTACAATGGCCAATTCGTAATCTTGTATCACCTCTTCCCTACGGTTAGTCCTTATTGAACTTGGCCAAGGTTTAACTGTTAGTTTTATTTCCCTAAGCTTATTTTCCCCAACATCGTGCCAGTCTTTTTCCCATCTATACCAGATTTCTGATTTTATATTTGAAATATAATCGTCGCCTGGAACTTCTCTTACTAACTCTCCTGAAATGGCTGCCTCTCTGGCTGCCCTATCCGCAATCTCATTTCCAGCAATGCCGCTGTGACCAGGAACCCACAAAAAAACCCCTAATGCCTCTCTGAGAAAGATGTTTCAATGTCACAAATATTTCCTGGATGAGATGGTTATGTGTAAAGGGATCATTCAATGCTGACAAAGCAGAGAGTGAGTCAGAACATATTAATAATATTTTACCTGTTGGACAGTTTAGATGTATACATTTATGTATTGCCACTAGCTCAGCACTAAAATTGCTGCACATTGGGGAAAGAGAGCAAAGATATTTCCTATCATTGGATGTAAAAGCAGCTCCTACTCCATTTGAGCTTTTCGACCCATCAGTAAATGCTAAGGTAGCCTGCGGAAGGTTCGCCAGGATTTCTAGAAATTTTTGTTTGTATACATATGGTGGGGTGTTTTCTTTTTTGAGTTTAGCGAGTTGTAGCTGACAATTAGCTTTTGGTGAGAGCAAGGGAGGAGATGTAGGAGATAATTTGTAATGGTGAAATGGTGTTGGTTTGACTGTAAAAACAAGGAAGTGCATACAGCGAAATGTTTCTTTTTGCTATTATCACGGTTTTCAAGGGAGATGATGTTTTTATTTGGAAATAAATCATTCAAAGGATGTAATGGAGATGATATGATTTTAACAAGAAATTTAGTGTCAAGAAACTGTCGCCTGTACGCTAATGGCAATTTTCCAGCTTCAACCAGTAGGCTTGATCCAGAAGTATCGGACTTGATCGAAAGGCCCCTGTGGCCAATCGTAAACAAGTGTTTTGCATTGGGTTTAAGCAGTTGAGCTTACTTTCTGATGCTGAACCATATGCATTGCAGCCATAATCGATTCTAGACAGGATTATACTTTTATATAATCTTAAAAGGCTCGCACGAAAATCTATATTATACTCCCTGATATAATAATGATGGAAGAGATAACACAATCAGATGTTTACCGGTCAAGGACAAACACATTGATGAGTACAATATGATATTTTATATTCAACCCCTTCCAAATTATACCAAATTTATATAACTGTAATTCCTGAAAATAAGTTTGTACTAAAAACAAAAGAAATTTTTTTAAAATTTTATTAAACAATTTATGTAAACATTTACATAGAGGAGAGAAATAATTAAGTAGAAATGATAAAGTGGGGTCAATATGTTCATCATTCACTTTTTGTAAAAGTTTTTTACACTTTTACAAAAGGTGAAAAATGTTTACATCAAGGATTCCAATGCTATAAAGGCAAGGTATCTTATTACCGATCCAGTTTCATCGAAGAAATTCTACTGATGTCGACTTTTCACACTTCTCAGACTTCAAACAACAAATAATCACATCGAATTGATAAAATAAATATTTAATCTTCTTTACTACACCTTGGAAATTAACAATTGTCGCATGTAAAAAAACCGAAATGGAAAAACTTCACGGAATCTACCTAATGCAGACAGATTCTGGAAAGATCTACTACAAAGGGAATCGTCCTGGTCCGTAAATCAACATCCAATGGACATCCGAAAATTCTGCCTAAAATCAACCTAATAAATTCAACGATGAAAGAACAACCTTAATAGAAATTCATCTAAGAAAATTTTCTTCACAAGATATTCACTTGAATCCACCAATTAATAAAAATATTCATAAGAGTATTACTGAATAAAATACATTTTCAACTTTTATGTTGTATTGTATGATAATCATCATCGTATTAATTTGTTTTTATAATTATACATTGTACGCTAAAGTTGTACATCTGCAAAAATAAAATAAATAGCATAAATTCCAAAAGCTGTTAAAACAGATTTGAATTTGGAAGAAATTGGCTTAAATAAAATTAATGTTTTATAGTCATATATCATTGAATTATGATTATTTGGAGATTGTGAGATGCGGTCTTGTGCGATGTAGGTTTAGAAAAACATTTTCTTTATTGTGCCAATGTTTCGATCTTTATTTGAAGATCTTTTATTGGGGGGGGGGGGAATAAATAAAAATAAAAATAAACCTACATCACCCAAGGCTGCATATCACGATCTCCAAATAATCATTAATTAACGGTCACTAAATGCTGTCACTTGAATTATATTGTAATTTTAAACATTGTACGTAATGAATGTAATAATGTACTACTATAACATTGTAATATTGTATGATAATATTGTAAAAGAGAATCTTAAATTCTAACTTTTTATTTTTATTTCCTCTTAAGGAGAAGAATTCTTATCATCTATCCTTATCTATTGCAACTCATCACATTCCTTATTTTGTTACATCCCTCAAGCCTTGTTAAAATATATTTTTTTTTTAATTAAATCCATTCCAGGTTTAAATTAAGTTCGAAGAGTCCCTAATTAGGATTGGATTTTCGATTTGGATTTGATTTTATATAGGCTCAAATGACTCGAGAATCGCACATCCCATACTCGATATCACCATTTACGCATATTATACAAACACTGAATGGGCACTGGATATTCCGCTGTCGACCCTCTCACATCACACATTCACGCTAATAAATACTTTCACACTTATAAATGCATTAACACAAAACAAGGTATATACAACTATTATTACTATATATAATAGAACAACCCTGTTTTCTAATAAAAAATATAATTTAAAAAAAAGTAACCGAACAAAAACACTTATACTTTGGTGAAAACTATTTGCAACTTGTATGCACATGCATATCAAAGTTCTAAGACATTACGATCATAAAATTAAAAAATAATAAAATAAAATAAAATTGTCTTACTTACCACAAAATAAAATAATGAAAAGGGCAAAGCCAGAAAAAGCCAGAGGAACAAACAGCTAGTTGAACTTGACTATGGATGTAACTTTTTCAGCTCTGCCGCTGAAAATGCTGGATCCAGTGCAGAACACCGGTCTTCGAATCGCTACAGGGACTTTTAAATCCACTCCTATCTCCAACCTTCATGTTGACTCGGGTGAAATTCCGCTAAATTTCAGACGAAACTCCTTGGATTTAAAATTATTAAACAGAGGTTCGTCACTGATAAACACAATCCTACAAAGTGACAGCAATAATTATTTTTATAGCCATAGTCAAGGTTTTTATTTACTACTTACCGTACATTACATAAAATATGGTTTATTTTATAACGAAATATCAACACTATATGCTAGGTGCACATATTTTTCAAAATTTCCAGAAAACAGGCACACGTAACTACCTTTCTTCACAATTTCTATTTTTTTCTTTAAATATACAGGAATGTATTTACCTATGTAGTTATACAACTTTATCTTTTCTCCCTCACATCGCACACAAATATTTCTAGCTTTCTCTTTACTATCTTTCTGTTTGTCTCTTTTTCTGTCTGTCTGTCTGGCTTACATTTGTTTCTCTCATTCGCTCTCCTGTCATTTCTCATTCACACATTTCTTACTCTCTATCTTACTCGATTTACATCTTTCACTCTCCCCTCACTCCCTTCACCATCTCTTTTTCTACTTGTATATTCGGTGTGTGTGTGTGTGTCTCTTTCTTTCTCTCACTCACTCTTTCTTTTTTCCTTTCTCTCTTACTGTCTCCCAACCTTTTTCATTCACATCTGTCTCACTGTTTTTCTTTCTACCTGTTTGTCTGACTTTTTGTCCGTCTAACTGTACTTCAGTTTCTATCTCCCAGTCATCTCTCTCTATGTGTCCCTCTAACTCTTTTTTCATTGTTCTTCTCTATTTTATAAGATTATGATTTAATTTACGTTTATGTTTTTATTTTTTAAAGGTAATAAAGGGGACGTCAGTTTAGGCGTTGACAAGGCTCTCGTCACTGTAAGGTAAAGGTCTGGGGTTCGAATCCAGCGGCCCTGCATTCAAACTGGCATACCACCGGTACCCCGAGGGCGTAAAAAAATTTATAAAAAAAAAAAAAACAGGTTAATGTTATACAAAATACCACATATAGAGGAATCAGGTCATAACGTGCAATTTTTGAAGGTTTTTTTTTCTCAAGTTGAGGGATAGATTGAAAACAGAAATCAGTAAAGTATCAAAAAATCAAGGAATTAACTTCGTTTTTCAAAATGACAACCCTCTTCCAGCCTCACAAGTTTTTGAACTATTTCCTAACGTAATATTTTTAATAATTGTTTTTCAGTTTTATTTTTTCTATCCTTTTAAAAAAATTTTTTTTGAAAAAAATACCTAAAACAAGTTTTTTTTTTTATATTTTTTTAATTGGCCTTATGATCTTTGCATATTAGCCATGACGAATCTCTTATATATGTTGTTCAAATTGGGGGTTATCGGGAAAAAAGGGCCAGAGGCGACGGTGGGAATCGAACCCACGACCGCGGCGTGAGAGTCTCCCATGCTAACCACTCGGCTACCGCGGTCCCCGAACAAGTTAAAAATAATTTATTTTTGGGATGGTTAGGTTACTGTTATGGTTATCCTCGTTTCTGCTCACAAACGTGTCTCAATCACAATGTCGTTCTCATTTCTGTCTGTTTGCGATTAAATATATCGACTTTTCTACGTTTTAAGCAATATATCAATAAAAATAAAGTAATTAATTTTTATTCGACATATAATTGGACGAAAATAGAAAAAGTATGTTTCGATTTGGTTTCAACTCGGGTGCTCACATCCAAGGTACTTCATCATGTCAAATTTTCATGCAATTTAAAAAAACGAACCAAAAGTTCCTAAGTAAAAAATAATAATGAAACCCTTTCAGGTTAAAAAAGGTTATTTTGTCAGTTAACCAAATATTATATGTAAAAAAGGCCCAGATAAAATACACTCGGTAAAAACGTCTCATAATTTTGCCAAAATATGAGCTTCAAATTTCTATTATAAGTCATTGGCTATAAAAACATTATTTTTGTAAATCTTAATAGTAAGAAAATGGATGAAAGACCCAATTAGTAAAGAAAAATATATTGACAAAGCGAAAATCAAAAGAAGGTACAATGGAACCTAGACTATCCGGAGTTATGAAGCCGAGGGGGATGATAGAAAATCGAGGACCCTGAATAATGGAATTTTTTTAATACATTAATCAAAAATTAATTTTAAATGGTATCCTGAAAGAAAAACATTGTTTCAACCGACAAGAAAAAGCAAATAAAATTTTTCTAAACGATATTGCAAACGATTTGTTCTCCAACATCTGTCCAGCTATTTTTTTGCACATTTTCCACCTTATTCCATGAGACGTTTTTTTATGTCCAATTTTTGTTCTATTGTGAGAACGACACGCTTTCTTTTTTGTCTTTTGGACTTGTCTCAATGCAGAGTGACAATGGATGGTTCTTTGAATCAGAAGTGACTTGTTGCTTCGCGAATATATGTATGGATAGTATACATATATGCAGACCTGGGGCCTGGATAATTACATTCTTGGATAATCGAACCCAGATAATGGAGGTTTTCACAGTATGTGGTCTGGTCGTGGTCAAAGCTCGAATAAGAATGTCCTGATTCTGAATTTTCCTAGTTTCCTTGTTTTTCTCGCTGCTGTTGTCTCATGATCTAATAGTTCGCCAGCACTATAGCAAGACACTTGATTCCAACATGGCCAATCCTGATAAAAGCTGGAAGTGAAAAAAAATTCATGATATTAAGTGAGGGGAAATAGTACACCATCACTTTTGGCGAGGTCACAACCATCGCCCTGGCTCGACCATTAGCAGGACCAAGGCAGAATATAACAAACATAGAGACCTATTCTAGTGATGTTATGACACTGCAATGGTTCATCATGAAACTTGATTTTAACATGGTTAATGCAGTCCAAATCTCTCTCCAGTTTTTTTTTTTCAGTTTCTCGAAAAAAACTAAGATATTTACCTGAAAAAATATAAAGTACATTACTACTACTTGTGAGACCTCAATCATCACTCCAACTTGACCACTTTAAGTTCATAACACACTGGTGAGACTGCAGTCTCTGCTCGACCGTTAACAGGATCGAGACCGAATAAATAACATTCTCAGACATAATACACCGGCGAGACCATGGCCAAGAACAAGATTCATTAACAGGATCAAAATCTTGAATTGAATCAATATGAGTAGGAATCTTGAACTTTTTTACAAAAACTGAACATTAGGATCACTGCTTCAACAACCATCCCCAAAACCTTGTCTGTATGCAGTTCGTCCTAAAAATTGCTTATTTTATCTAGGTACGCTGCCCCTGCATTACCTGTGAATTATGGTTCTAGCCTTTCTCTGGTTGAAGATATAATGGTAGATTCAGAAGGACTTCCAGAGCAGCAGTGAGGGTCATTCTCATTGCCCCAGTACTGCTCAGGCATGCTAAACTCTGAGCAGTAATGAGGTTTCTGAATACCCATTCTGAAACTGAGGAGCTGTAGTGTCTTCATTGACCAAATCACTGATCCATAAGTTATCATGGGTCTAACTGTACTGTGTATAACTTAGGAACATCTTTGGATTTAGTTCCAAGCTTTTCTCATGAAGCTACTGCCAATGTCACATGATTTACTGATTAACAAACTTTCTTACTATGAAATTCATGGATCTCTCTTGAAAAGGTTTTATTGTTATTTAACAGCTGTAACAATAATATTCCTAGCCTCCAAAACACTTTCCGTCCCCTCAAGACTTCCTCAAGGTTCACTATTTGGTGCTTTATTGTTTAAACTGTTTCTAAATAATAGTTAATCTTGTTTTCCAACTATTAATTTTTCACTCTTAGCTGATGATCTAAAATCTATAGCAGCAATCAAAATAATTTAACATAGCAATACAAGGGATTTGAATTAATTAACCACCCCCTCTAGATGATTATATTGTCATATATTTGCTACCCATAATTTCTTGAGCAAAATCTAAGTTTATATTTTTCTTCAGAAACAACTGCCTGTTTGCCAGCAAAGGAAATTATGTTTTGCTCGAAAGAGCTTGAAAAGTTGCAATCTAGCCTTGCCACCGAAGAGATAAAAGTAGGAGATCATTCCATATGTTTTTTACCTTCCTCATTAGTATTAAATAACATAGTTTCTGATTCCGATAGAGATGAGTCTATTGTTCAGGCGGAGACAAACCATTCTGACCTCACGTCTGGCAGTTATGAGGGTGACAATTTATCACTAGTATTAAGTAAGTTAAAATAAATAAAAATTAATTTCTTCCTGTATACCAGGTGGCCTTAAAGTTTGGGAATGCACTTATGATTTGTCAGAGTTTATGCTTGGACTAGGATCATTCCTAACTGGAAAGTGCGTTCTCGATCTGGGCTGTGGATCTGGAATTTTAGGCATTACTGCCTATAAATTGGGTGCAGGAACAGTCCATTTCCAAGACTATGTAAATGATTTATGAATTTCTACTCTGCAAAACAGTTTAAAAAAATCTATTTGTAAAAATACTATAGAATGAAGGCGTTGTAAAACATTTTACAATACCCAATGTGTATTTGAACGATCCAGACCATTTGGAAAGTTCTAACTTTTGGGCTGGTGATTGGGTGAGCTTCAGTGATACGCAGGGAAAATATGATGTGATACTGAGTTCTGAAACGATATACAATCCGGCGAATCACGGCAAACTGCACGACCTGTTCAAAAAGAAACTGAAACCTGATGGGACTATGTATCCTTTTGTAACGCACTATTTAGCTCTTGTTTTCAGTTCAAACAAACTTTCTACCAATTTCTATTCCTTAATGCTTATTGAAGTTTTCTCGCTGGCAAAGCATATTATTTTGGAGTTGGTGGGAGCATGAGCCAGTTTCAACAAGTCATGGATAATGAGAATTTGTTCTCCCATCATAAAGTTTGGTCTTCAGATAGTGGTAAAGAAAAGATAAAATAGTATTTTGGCACTTATATTAATTATATTTTGAATTTTTTTATCCTATTTTTTAGGTGTGAAACGAGAAATCTTAGAAATAAAGTATAAGTAATAAATTTAAAGCTTGTAAATAGACGTGTTGTATCTATACATTTCCTACATTTCCTTTGATTTGTTGACACAATCAATATATATATATGCAGTATGCTCTGGTTACATAACTTATCCATAAACTCACCCACATAGCACTATATTGGTACCTTTTACAAGAAAAAGAGCACTGGGAGTTCTCAAATTTCTGACCCTAAACTGGGTAGATTCTATTTTCCATTTAGGCCCAACATCTTGGTGTTATTTTAGACCAACTGCTTACATGAAATCTGCATGTTAAAAGATAATATAAATACAATGTTTGCTTAGGAACGGTGCAGTCTTTTTAACAAAGTCAAGGTAAAGTGATGAAGCTACTAGTGGCACTCAAAACCAACAGCTTTGAACCATTGCCAATTAAAAACAAAGTTAACATATGTGGTTATGCTACGGTTTTTCAGTTGGAAATTATAACAAATTGAACACCAACAACTGGCCTGAGATTAGTAAATAAAAAGGCTTGGAATCCTCTCTACTTGAAATAATCTCTGACAGTCAGGCACCACTCAGTTTTAACCTCATGTGAGGTGAAATCAAAACATGTATTGGCTTACATGGAATCCTTGGAGGGAGTCACAAAAATTCTTGAACTTTGACTGACTGCCTAGTCATTTAAGCCACATGGGTTATATTAGATCCAATATGAACACTTCCAGGCCCGAACTCTACTGTGGCTTAGCAATTTGTCAGAAGTACATGTTGAACAATGGCTCTTTAATGAGTCCAAATCCCAGATCAATGCTCCAGCGATGATACATGTGAAAAGATTCTTACAGGTATTTGCATTATAAGTGTTTATCCAGGTGATGGTTTCTGCAAGCAAAAATTCGCAATCAGTACCCTGCACAAAAGATCAACTTGATAACTTAAGCTTAAAGTTAACTAGTAAGGTTCTAACAAAATAGTAGGGCACAATATTTCTTTTTTGTTGAGGTTCAAGAGGCTTTGCATTACTTCTCAAACTTAGGTAAGCTTTTATGTAATGTTTCTGCATTATTATGTCTTTGGTAGGAACTGTTCCTCTCCAAAACAGTAAACATAACATAATGCTTTGAAGTAGAGAAAACTACATAGTTTTCTTACATGCTGAGGTAAACTACTTTGTAAATGTTTAGGTGAGTACTGCATGACAGGGAGTTGTCAAACCAAACTCCTGGTAGTTTAGTTAAGTTTTAGTCTTTCATCTATATTAGCTTTGAAATGTTTTTCATTTATTTCATCCGTCAACAGGCTCTACAAAATTGTAATGCTACAAGAAATGAGATAAGAAATCTCTTAAGACAAGTCCGAAATATATCACTTTCTTGTTGAAGTCGTATGGCAGACATGGAGTCATGCCCCAAGTAGGATACACAAACCAAGATGATCAAAAATGACCAAACTACAAAGAAAAAAAATCTAAGTAATCAAGTAATTGCCAAATGATAATGTCTTCCTAAAGAAAAAACCCATCAGCATTTGTTTTTTTCTCAGGTTGAGGGATATATTAAAAACGGAAATTAGTAAAGTATCAAAAAATCAAGGAATTAACTCCGTTTTTCAAAATGACAACCCTCTTCCACCCTCACAAGTTGTTGAACTATTTCTTAACGTAATATTTTTAATAGTTGTTTTTCAGTTTTATTCTTTTCTATTCTTTAAAAAAAAAATTGCAAAAAATAACAAAAACAAGTTAAAAATAATTTATTTTTGGGATGGTTAGGTTACTGTTATCCTCGTTTCTGCTCACAAACGTGTCTCCATCACAATGTCGTTCTCATTTCTGTCTGCGATTAAATATATCGACTTTTCTACGTTTTAAACAATATATCAATAAAAATAAAGTAATTAATTTTTATTTGACATTGAATTGGACGAAAATAGAAAAAAATGTTTCGATTTGGTTTCGACTCGGGTGCTCACATCCAATGTACTTCATCATGTCAAATTTTCATGCAATTAGAAAAAAAACAAAAAAACTATTCCTTCCCAAACCAATAAACCATATGACATCATAATGCCTTGAAGTAGAGAAAAGTACATAGTTTTCTTACACGCAGAGGTAAACAACTTAGTAAATGTTTAGGTGAGTACTGCATGACAAGGAAATGCAAAACAAACTCTTGGTAGTTTTAGTCTTTCATCTATATCAGCTGTGACATGTTTTTCATTTATTTGTGTTTAAATGCATTGTTTTCTTTTTTTGGGGTCACTAGTGACCAAGGTCTTCTGTTCTTCCAATGCGGTTTATTGTGGAATAGACCCTCCTATATTTACAAACCTAAAAAAGTCTCTATTGCTAAGGTAATTCGGCAATTTTTGGGGTTCTAGGTAAAGTTTCTCTATTGGAAACATAAAACTAACAGCCCATTTAGTATATACGATATGCACAATATCATCATTCAACAAGTAAATATGTTTATAAATTTGACAAAAAAAAAATACTGGAAAAGCTTAATATCCATGGACATTATTGACTTTAATATGGATTTAATTTAAGAACTCCAATATTTTAAACGAAGTAACACCAATAATCCATGGCTGAATAAGTACCAGAAAAGAAAAGAAAAGAAACCGAGAACTTCATATCTCCCAAACCACGTGGTCTCAATTCCTTTTCACAAAAAAGAGCTATTTGCCGATAAAAGAAGTCACAAAATTCTTATAAATGGTAAATGCGAGAAAATTTAGTCCAAATATTAACATTTAGCAAGATAACTGTTGATCGAATCGTTGCATTTTTTGTTTATCCTGAGTCCTTTTTAGATGATCAATTTAGGTTGGAAAGTGAGTTTCAACGGAACATTCTAAAGTGACATCTTTTGGTAAGGTAGTGGTGGAAATTTAAAATTAACTCAAAGGGGCCCAGACGAGCTCAGTCAGTGATCGTGAACTAGGCAAGTTAGACCGACTCGACGGACGGTAAGTCAGTCATGGATGATAAAATTTATCATTATCCGTCCGAATCACGTTGAATATAATGCCAACGCGATCTTCCTCACCAGTCTAAAACTGAAAGAATTAGGACAAAAAACTAATATTTAAACAAATTCATAATATCCATCAGTGATTGGCGAACATATACAAAATCCCATACAAAAAAGCTTCAAATATTTTTTTAAGCAAGAAAAAAAGTTGAAATTCGTTAATCACAGCCTAAAAACCCTCAATACAAGTTCTTGATTAAATAAAAAAAAACGCAAATTTTTCCCTTTCCAAAATGTCTCCGTTTCTTCGAAAATAACAAATATTGTATTACTTTTGAAAGACTCCGCCTAATTACTGGGGTTTAGACCACATAAAACCACACAGTGGCACAAGTCTTTTTACTGGGGTTTAGACCACATAAAACCACACACAGTGGCACAAACATGGTCCCAGTGAATAAATTAGAACCAGAGATATAAAATACGAGGGTTTTTTGTTGATTTTAACACCCCCTTTCCTCCCTTATAATGTACTCAATTAAAACTTTGTTGATGCAGGCTGAAAGAGGTGTTGAGCTTTGCAACATACTTACTAACTCTGGATTTGTATAAAATTCAGAGGAGGTGTGAATTTATAAGTGAAACACATGGGCGGAAAAAATCCTGGCGAATCCAACCCCAAAATACATATTTTTGGTTCACTATAAAAAATTCATACCTAAGGGATTTTTTTACGAGGGTATTTCAACTACTAGGTTATACGAACCCTCGGGGTGTCGGAGTTTTTGAAAAAAAAAAAAAAAATGGATTAAGGGTGCTTAAAACGAATCCGAATTGTTTTTTCAAAACAAATGTTTTTTTCTACTTTACTGAGAGCATCGTTTCGTTTTCGTATCTTTTTAATATCTAGTCCCATTTAATATGATTATTCATTTTATTTTCCTATTCTACGTAAAATGGACTGATATATAACTCTGAAATACGTATGTAGGAAAAATAAATTAAAAAATTAAAAAAATATTTTAATTACTTTAAATTTTTAATTTAGCCCCTAGGTCCCATTTTTCTAAAAATTTGTAATAAAATGGGCAATGGCACATCCGTAATCTTCCCTTGAAAAGCAAAAAATGAAAACTATTATTCAATAGAAAACAAAATAATCACGAATTTTTAAAATAATTTACTCCATGCTTCTTTAGTCTGAAAATATGATTTTAGTAGATCTTTTAAACTTATCTTTTAATTTAGGATCTGTAAGCTTGATTTTTACCTTCAAATATCAAGAAATTTATGTAAAGATATAACATAAAAAACATTTACAAAAAGTTGGTTATAAATGAGCGTTGTAGCTTATAAAGTAGGGCTTTTATTGTATAAAACATAATGATTTTAGGCGTAAAATGTTTTCTTTTAGGTAAGGAATTTTTTAAAACTAGAAATTAAACTGAATAAAATGCGATAAGGAAAGGAAAAGATACAGCATATTATTGTTTACACAATAGCCTAAAATGTTGGATAAAATAGGATTTTCAAACAAAGAATCTAGGATTGTTTTAGTTAAATAAAGTATGTTTACTGTAAGGAAATATTAAAGGAACGTCTACAATTTTTCTGCTGGTTTTGTCTTTGAGCTTTTGTAAATAAATAATTTATTTGTAGCCTGTAGTATAGAAGTACAAATTATTGCGTATATTGTTTTTTTTCTTATTCTGGTCACAACACTGACATATCCAGCACTGAACCCGGAAGGCACAGGTCAAGAGAAACCCGCCAAAGCTGGCACTGAATATGAAAAAGCTTAAGAGATTAAGTGTAGATTAGAATGGATCGAAAGATTGGTGTGGAACTTATGTAAGGATTGGATCAGATCGTTGACAGAAGGTCTTGTCGATAGTCAAGTTAGTGATGTAGGTCCAGGGTGGTCGCTTTAATGTCCTGTATAGAGTTAGTTGAGTTTTATATTTTATTTAATTTAACGAGGATTCGCAACAGTAGAAGTCATACAATCCTCGGGGTGTTAGTGTTTTTGAAAAAAAAAGATCATTTGTAAGTATCTCGGGTTCGAATGCACGGCGGCTAGATTCGAACCCTCGACCTTTACCCTACAGTGATCAGCGCCGTGCCAACGCCAACCGTTGCGACCACCGACGCCCCATAAGTTGAGTTTGGACGGACAAAACAGATCTAAGTCTTCCGTTAAGTTGTCTGTTAAGTCTTGTTTGGGGATTGCACATCAGCCTAAGACCTGGATTGAGAAGAAGTCGGTAAGCTGCTACAGTTAAGGGCAAGACTGTTTTTTATCATGTCTTCCAATTTTTGCATCTGTCTGATAATCTCAAGATGTTTTGGGTGTTGGAGGTTGCTTCGATAAAAGAAGAAAATCGGTATCATTCCGCCTAGTTGATAATTATAGTGTTGGGATAGGAAAGAAAGTAAGTCTAATGGTAATAGGATGGGACCAAGAATGCTTCCTTGTGGGAAAACCGTATGAGTATTTGTTGCCGCACCTCACTCTAAGAGAATAAGGGGTGGGTAGGAAGAGTTTAATTTTATAAAGGATTATCAAAAGTCTATGCTGCAGAACCAAGCAATATTTTTTGTTTTCTAAAACGGAGGAAATAGCGTTTTAAGATTTTAAAGAGGTTGGTATTGTAAAATTATCATAAGAAGTCGCCTTGTCGAACTTTTTATCAAGCATAATTTTTATCATAATAATCTAGAAAAAAATGATAAAATTAAAGTAGTAAAGAAAGTAATTAGTAAAGAAAATTATATAAAATTGTTGTTTAATATCAGTTTTTACTATTAAACCTTTTTGGGATTAAAAGGGTGGTTTTTTCTGTTTGGAAAACCATTTAGTTCTGTATTAAATGAAAATGTACTTTATTCAATAATATAATGAGTTACAAAAAAGTTAAGTTATAAAAATAAATTAAAGCGCACTACACAATACACTACATGGTTGACAACCGTTTGCCGGAAAAAGGGGCAAAAAATTTATAATTTTTTTTAATAAACAAACACATCAAACTATTATTAACTAAACTATTATTTACTCTAAATTTTCACAATTTGAGCAGGGTATCTCATTAGTAATCTCTCGAAAAAAGACCTGTTAAATATAATATTAAGTGAAATAAAAACATCTTCAGTAGTTAAATATAAAATCATTCTTTCCTGTTCCAGGCTACTTTAACAAAGTTTACTAAGTTGAAACACTGAAAAATATTTAGTGAAATAATTGTATATTCTCTCGTTAATGAGAACAGACTAATGTGTCTCAATTTGAATTCTGCCAGAATCGGACATTCTGCTAAGAAATTCTTCTAAAATAGAAAGTCTTCTCTGGCCTTTCTATTGCGTAGGGAACACAAGTTGAGGCAGTTATATCTTTTTGTGAGAAAGCAACTTACATCTGAATAAAAAAAGAAAAAGAACAGCAAGAAAATGGCGCAGAGGAAATTGTAGCACTCTCAGACATACTAAATAAGTTTCCATCAAGCGCAAGTTCCTTATACAATAGGAACCTGGATGACTTATGGCCCTGTGCTAGACATTTATCAATGTATACGGTCGGATACATTGCTTGAGTTTTGTAAGCAAAACTGGCCAATCTGCGACGTTATCCCGTGAAAGTTTTTAGTTTTTCATTTAATTCTGCAGCTAATATCTAAATTCCAAATGTTGTTGTTCTATCACGTATTCTACTTCGTTTTTTCCAAGTTACAACCGGTAAAAATTTGTTGTATCAGGCGTCACCCGCAAGTCTTGTCGGCCATGCGGGAATGCCTAACCGCTTCGCCTTTTTATTATGGGCTTTCCGGTCAAACTTGAGGTATCATTTTTTATAAATTTTATTCTTTTTCTCCTGTTTATGCCAATTAAACGTAAGAATTATAAATAAGGCGATGGCTGGGAAATAAGACAAAGCTGAAATAATTTAATAACTTGTGTAGAATTTTCGTGTGTTTTGTGATTTTAGAAATGTTGCAAAAAACCATTGGTGACACAGTGGAAGCACAAACGTCATTACTAGGCTAACTTTAAACCCTCCCACGTCCTTAAATCCGATTTGATATAAATCTCGTCAAACTCAAGTACAGGTCGTTTATATTCTATTTTCCAGAAGAAAATAATCCTTATTGAAGGACAAGTCAAAAATATAAACCGACAGATGTTTAAAGTCAGGATGGAAGCTTTTAAAAATTTAATATCAGTGACATTAAAATTTCCAAGGAGCAGTATCTTTAGTGTTAGAATACTAATAAAAATATAGTATTTTTAAATCTTTAAAATAGATCAAAAGAACTTAAATTTAAGATGATTCTTCGTCAATAATCAATAGCTCGTCAGTCTTTAATAATTCATTTATTTAGTTATAAAATTATTCACTTTCATCACTAGGAAGAAAATCGTGTGCCATTGGCGCTTTGGGCATTTTAGAGGAGTTCCTACTCACAGTAAGTTGTTTTGCAACGATCCGGATTTCGAGCCTTTTAGCTCATCATCAGGTTGAAGGATTTCTACAACCTGATGATGAGCTAAAAGGCTCGAAATCCGGATCGTTGCAAAACAACTTACTGTGAGTAGGAACTATCCTTTTAAAAAGTATTGAACACCACACTCACTCCATCATTTATCATTTCTATTTTAGAGGAGTGACGGGAAGGGTTCAGGATGAAAGGAGTTGGGATGAGGGTCCAGGGTTTTATGAAGGTATCTTTGGAGAGATCGGATTTGAAGGTCTGTTTGTAGTGTTGGTGGATACGGAGTAGGGAGATAAGATGATGTTTAAAAGGATTTTGGACTGGAATGTTGAATAAAACAGTTCTGGGAGGGTTCGGGATGGAAGATGTTGGACTAGGGTGTTGAGATGAAAGTCCAGAATTTCTAGAGGCGTCTGTATAGACTTGTGGTTTCGAGGACAAATAGGATTTGATGGTTTGTGTGTACAGAATGGTTGGCTAAGAAATGAGAATATTGGGCAATGGTTCGAAGTATTGTGGACTGAATTGGCTGGACTCTTTGGATGTTGGAACGCTTGGTTGAGCAGTTTAGGGAGGATTGGGGATGAAAGGTGTTGGAATAAGGGGATGGGATGAGGGTCCATGATTTTGGGAAGGCATCAGTATCAACTTTTGGTCGTTTAGAGGAGAAATGGGATTTGAAGGAGGGGCTAAAGTTGGGCAGTGGTTCGAGGAGTTTGGACTGGAGTGACTAAGGAGGTGACTTGTGGTTTCGAGAACAAATAGGATTTCATGGTCCGTGTGTATAGAATGGTTGTCTACGAAATGAGAATATACTGGAGTGAATAAGGAGGTTGAAACGTTTGGTTGAGCAGTTTAGGGCAGATTGGGGATAAAAGGTGTTGGACTAAGGGAATAGGATGAGGGTCTATGTTTTTGGGAGAGCATCTGTATCAACGTTTTGTAGTTTAGAGGAGAAATGGGATTTGAAGGGGGGACTAAAGTTGGGCAATGGTTCCAGTATTTTGGACTGGAGTGACTGAAGAGATTGGAACGCTTGGTTGACCCCCATAGTTGGTGAAGGTTATTTGCTGGGATTTGGTTTCGTTTTTTCTGGTTTTTCATTTCTTGATTTTTCCAAACAAAATAATTTGTAATCATTGAACAATTATACAAAATTGAGTCTAGGGTTCTGAAAATAATGGTACAGAAATAAGGCCGATTTTTTTATTAGATCGTGGTAGTGACCCACTTAAACAGCATATTTCATTTGGTTTGTTTCCTTATAAAAGTTTAATACTGATTGTTTATTGTTACAGGAATGTCCGGTACTCCTCCGAGATGGGGTTCACCTCCTCCCCTATATTCACCGAGGGGATCACCTAGGCCTTTTATCCCCTGTCCTAGACCTACATGGCCATATCTTCAGGTGAGAAATATCGGAAAATTAAATATTTAAAAACAATAATTAATTTTTAAATATTCGGCAGAGTCCTGTTCCGTTTTCTCCCATAATGTGGATGCCTGCACCGCCTTCGCCGTATCTCGGCGTACCTCTCGAACCTCCGGGTCCTCTCTATCACGATCCGCAGGTGCCGCAGGACGGGAGATCGACCGCGGACATAATCGCGTCTCAGTCACAGGATTACGTCGACGAAAAATTGGCCGAATACCAAGCGACAATATTTCAATTACAAGGTAAGTCGGTGTAGTTTAGTACAAATTTTCATTTTCACTTTGACAAAACATTAATCAAATTGAGCTTACAATAAACTACGTCCTACACGTTCTTTCAGCGTTGTGGAAGAGAGTTAAACATTTTCACACGCACACACAGTAAACGCTCTAATGGACCAGTTGGCTATATAGTCGTGATAGTCCAAAATGTTTAACTAGCGAGCGATAGCCGCATAAAAATTAATTTGTTTGCAACCATCTTCTTTTAAGGACATAAGAAAGAAGCTTATATCACTCTGGCCTTGTTTTGAATACTTTGCCTTGATAAGGAATATCGGTAACTATGGAAAAACAGGTACGTCTATAACTATCAAATATACAGGTTACGTTCCTTCGCGATTACTCTGGGATACACTCCTCAGCAGTCAATTCTGTATTTTTAGTTGATATGCACCTGTTTTCCAGATCTTACTATATCTAAACAGACGGTTCAAAATCAAATGACGGAGTAAGTTGTGCTTGGTTTGACCCTCAATTAAAGAAAATGGAAATGTATAAGCTTCCTTCGGAATTAAGGATCTACCAGGAATTTTAAAGGCTCCTGAGTATTCCTATGAAAATCAGCTAAGCAGCCAGTCGTTTATGATTCTGTCAGATTCTAAAAATGCCTTGGAAAGCATAAAAAATCTCAATTTAAAATTTGGCGGTAATTCGTAGATTTTAGAAAAACATTTTCTTTACCGTGCCAACGTTTCGATCTTTCTTGAGATAATCTTCAAGGCTCAAAGTGTTTGTTTTCCGTGTCGATGTGCCATTCTTGTCTGTGTGGGCACTCTAAATACGACATACAACAATGAGACATCTACACGAAAAACAAACACTTTGAGCCCTGAAGATGATCTCAATAAAGATCGAAACGTTGGCACGGCAAAGAAAATGTTTTTTTACAACTACATCACACCAGAACGCCTCTCACGATCTCCGAATAATCATTATTTAGTACATTGGGTGGCAAATAAAATATTAGCATTAAAAATTAATAAAAACGTCAATATAAGATTGTGTTGGATTAGGGGTCATGCCGGAATCAGATGGAATTACATGGCTGACAAACTAGCAAAACGCGCCTTGTATGAGGGTAAAAGCCTTAAAATTCTGTCGAGAATGCGAAAATCATAAATGATAGTCAACAACTGTAAGGCAATCGCAACCGAACCAGGTTCCTGGTTGGACTCCTGACGGGGCACTGCCACTTAAGAAGGCACATGCACCGGATAGGATACACACAGAAACACCGTGCAGATACTGCCAGGACGAGGAGGAGACCGCAGAACACATTTTATGTTTCTGTGAAGGCCTATGTAGGTGCAGGTTCTTGCGACTAGGACAAGAAAAACCACAAGCAAGATCCTACACCAAGGAACCGCTGGCAAAGCTGTGGAGCTGGGTAATAGCCTGAAGCTGGCCAGTGAGTTATCATTAACAAAGAAGCACAATAGATCTGTTTAGGGTCGAGATGCAGTAGGCCTTGTGACCTCCTCTCTTATCCGTATCCCCTAGGACCTCAGTCAATCCTAACTTAAATAAGGAACATTGGTTCCAATGACTAGCCTGGACAATCAGGGACGGCCCAATGATAAACAGGCTTAGGCCCGGTCATGGCGGGGTGTACCTATATAAAATAAATAAAAGAAGGACTAATTTATGTGGAACGTGCCAGATTGAAGAAGATATTGAACATATTATTATGAACTGTACGAAATATTCTGAAGAGAGAAAATTGTACCTTGACAGATTGTACTCATTGAAGAGTATTGCCAAGCCAATAAACTACAGTTCCTTACTTTTCCCAAAAGATGAATAAATATATCGGCCTCTAGTAGAATTTATATATAGCTGCGGGATAACAATTTAAAACTAGAATTAGATAAAATGTCATTTAGTTGTTAATTAATTTATTGAAGTTATGTATTGTTAAATGATTTATTGATTATTTATTCATATTCTAATTATTTAGCTAATTATAAGCTATTTTTTCTATTCAAATGTATCTATCAATTTAATTAATTATTAAGTTTATATTATCTCATTGAAACAGCTCGAAAATACGTGCAATTAGTTCTAGAGCTTAGTCTGGAAAAAGTAGCAATGGCATTAAAATGCTTTACCATTTAATTTTATCATGTTGCTAATGAGTTCTAAATTTACTTTTTTTAATTTTATTTTTTGCTGTCGGTGTTTTTGAACAATAGCCCATTTGTAAGTATGTCGGGTTCGAATGCAGGGCCGCTGGATTCGCACCCGGGACCTTTACCTTACAGTGATTAGCGCCGTGTCAACGCCTAAACCGTTGCGGCCACCGACGCCCCTAAATTTACTTGTTGTAACTAAAGTTGCAGGCGTTATAATAATAATAATTAAAATAACACGCACACACATACACAGAAAAAATCCAAACTATTTATTGAAAAACAAAGTATAAAGTAAAAACAGCTATTATTTTTATTTTGGATAGGTGTATTAATTTTTTAGACAATTAATTTATCACTTTATGTAATAGCAAATAATTTTTTAAATAATGAATTTATAATCTTGATTCGGACAATGTCTAAGTATGAAATGAAGTCCGAAGAATAAAGAAAGTAGTAGCTCAAGGCAAAATCTTCTCTACAAATTCAAACTTGCACAGCTGCTGCTTCAATTTCTTGCTTCTTCAAAAATTTCTTTCAATTAATTAATCTTTATGTAAGGTATTGGTCAAAATAAAAAAAAGTCAGTGTCACGAACGGGATTCGAACCCACGACCCTCGGCTAAATACGCCGCTGCTCTACCACTTGACCTATCGTGACTTCGATCGGGCCACGAAATCTAATGGATCTATTGAATAATGTTTAATTAGACCAGATAATAAACAGTTTAATGTTTATAAAGGGGTTTTGTAAAAAAAAAATTGAAAGGAAACGCTTAAGTTTGGGCAGATACGAAGTTAAAAAATAATGAAACCACGTAAAAGAAGTTTGGTTAGACCCGCTTTGTAAGGCGAATAATAAAACTATTTACAAACTGTCAATACAGTTAAGATCATATTTAAAAAAATACTTGGATTATTGACCAATTTAAAAAGTTGTTTATTCTTCGACATAACGTAACGTTGTTGAAATTGTATTTATTCCTTTGAACCTAAGACCTATCAAGGCTGTAGAATGGCTCCATTTGTGAACCATCGAACGCCTGACTATTTCCGTCTTAAACTATTTTTCGTTTCTGTAAGAAGAGCTAAAAATAGGCCGGATAACTTTAAGAGATGCAGCCTCGAAGACAGTATTTAATGGGCGGACGTGGAAATGTTCTCACTTCCAACTGGAATTAAAAAAAAAAAAAAATAGATTTATGTATACTTTTTTTTAATCAGTTTTTGATCATATCGTTTCGAGCCAGGAAGAGGGATTTGCTTTTAGACACAGTTTTGGCAAAAATAAAGACCGCCTTCCTTACTGTTTTACAAAAATAGCCATGAAGTTTATTAATTTATTCATGGCCACTGTTTAAACTGAAAGGTCTGTTTTAATTGAATTACCGTTTTATTATCTTTAAAAATATATCATATAAATAAACTAGAATGTATTTAAAATAAAGATAACGTTTTTAAACTCCACGTTTAATTTTTGTTAAATTCTCTAATTTCGTGGTCCGCTTGACCAAATAATACATTACAATTAATTAAGGTTTTTAGTTGAAACGAATCCCGCTCGTGGCATTAACTTTTTTTCGTCTCAACTAAAAACCTTAATTAATTGTAATTTAATTTTTGTGTTGATGTTCAGTTTTCAAGCAGTTTCTTTTAATCTCTCCCAAAATATTTTCATTATTTTCATAAAAAAACCACGTTACCTTATTCAATTATTTAATATATTGAAGGGATTTCTCATTCTTTATGATTTACCGTCTCTTTCTATCTATCTATTTTTCATTCTCTTTCTTTCTCTCTCTCTCTCACTCTCTCTCTCTCTGTCTGTCTCTCTCTTTCTCTCTCTCTTTCGCTTTATTTCTTTCTCGCCGTCACTTTTTTCCTTACTTTTTATTCTATTAGTTACATTGTTACTTCTCAATTGAAAATTTAATATTGGACAGTTAAAACGTTATAACCGGGGTGAAGTCGACCATGCCTCGCCAATAAATGAGTCCTTGTGTTGTTGTTTAGAAAAAAAACCCTATTTCTATTCACTACTGCATGCCGTCTTTAACTCGTCAGCTAGATTTAGTTGGCCGAGTTGGAAACAGAATTCGATGAAAAAACCAACAACTCCGTTCAAAGCGAAGAAAATTCCAAACCCACCTTTAAAAATATTAAAAACTTTTCTTCCTTTCGCCCCGTGGCCACTGAAATTCTTTTGATAATTAAACATTTATAAAATATAGAAAACTTTATGAAACACCACTCAGGCTTTTTCATTGACTATCCTCGTCATCGGAGTTTTATAAATATAATTTTAGTGAATCTCTCTCCCACTCTCTCTTTCTTTCTTTCATCCTTTTCTCTCCCTTTCATTTATTTATTTTTCTAACCGTCACTTTGTTGCTTAATTTTCATTCTATTAGTTACATTTTCATTTCTCTCTCTTTAACTTTTTTCTTTCTTACCGTCAATTTCTTGCTTAATTTTCATTCTATTAGTTACATTTTCACTTTTCTCTCTTTATCTTTCTTTCATTTTTTTTGTCATCGTCACTTTCCATCTATCTACGTTTTATCCTTACTTACACTTCATACTTAAATTTCCACTCTCCTCTCTTTCACATTCTTTCTGTTTTACCGTCTCTTTCTATCTATTTATCTTTTATTCTTACTTGCACCTCTTGTTTAATTTTTCATTCTATTAGTTGCATTTTCACTTATTTCTCTCTCTCACTCTCTCTCTTCCCCTTCTCCCTTTCACTTTATTTGTTGCCGTTACTTTCTCGCTTTACTTTTTCATTCTATTAGTTACATTTTCACTTCTCTCTCTCTCTCTCTCTCACTC